TGCAATTGTTGTCACGCGAACCTCGTACGATGCCTGTAGCGATCAGAATCGCTGTTTGAAGTTGGCGATCGTATTTAATCGCGTGCGCGCCGCTAGAGCGTATAAACTTTACACATAGGCATATTGTCCGGCCGTCAAATTTTCTTCTGGTTCTCTTCTCCGTTTGTTCGCCTGCCGTTCCCGTTGCTCCTGGGCTCGCTGCATTGAGTCGCGGGCTGTAACGACTTAGCACTTTTCCCTGCCGATAGTGCAGACGGCGGCCCCAATTAGTGTGGTACGTTGGCCCTCGGCCAACAACTAATTGCGAGCTATTGCGACGCGCGTAGCAAGCGCGTTGCACCCCGTAATTATTTGTATAAAAAGCTAGAATTAGTAATAATTATCTAAGTTATTCTACATATCTTCGAGTGTTGCTTACACGGGCCCTGTGGATAGTATCATTCAGGCACTCGAGGTAATCCTCTGATGCCGGAATGGAACTAACTGCATGGCGAGTTATGCCAGAGCGGCTAAAGCCGTAATTGGCTTCGAACGGCGTCGTGCCAATGGAGGAGTGAAACGAATCATTGTATGCGAACTCAATTAAAGCTAACAATGATTCCCAATGACTTCTGTCTTGGAGAAGAAACGGCTTAAGCATCTGCTGGACCGTTCGGATGGTCCGTTCTGTTTGTCCATCGGTCTGAGGGTGACTTGCCGTGGACATTTTGAGCTTGACGCCCATTGTTCTGAAGAGGGCTTGCCAGAACTGGGCTACAAACCTCGGATCTCTGTCTGAGGTTATTGTTTCAGGTACGCCATCGCCAACTTAGACATATTTAACTGCAGTCTTAATAAAAAACTGATAATATTGAACTAAAATTAATAGGCGTCCGACCCGTACTCCTAATTAAGGATGCTCGCAAGTGCTGACTTACGTTGCACTGCACTGCATTATGTGTAAAGTTGAACCGAGAATGTTCTGAAAAACAAGTGATGATCATTTCAGACTAAGGCTAAGGTATTTATACTGAAGAAACGGTTCTTAGTCATAATGGTATGACTAAGCGTGGCTTGAATTATACAGTCACGAAGAGGTAAATTACGCGACTGCAATTGTTGTCACGCGAACCTCGTACGATGCCTGTGGCGATCAGAATCGCTGTTTGAAGTTGGCGATCGTATTTAACCGCTTGCGCGCCGCTAGAGCGTATAAACTTTACAGTCTACGTACGCAATTGTTTAATTTTACTCGTCACAGTCAATTGGGTATTGATAATTGGGAAAAATAATATACTTGTAACGACTTAGCACTGTTTGCTTGCTAGAAATACAGACGGCTGCCCAATTAATGTGGTACGTTGGCTCTTAGCCACTACTAATTGCGGGTTATTATGCGGCGCGTTGCATCTCGTAATTATATGTATAGAAACCCAGAATTACTAATAAATATAAAATTTATTCTACATGGCTTCAAGTGTTGCTCACAATACTAGTCTTATTCACAGTACTGGATTTAGCATAACAATACAAATTATTGTTGCTACCAGGAGCGATACTGTGACTAAACATTCTTCTTCGGAAAGGGTATGTCAAAAAAACAGTTTGCATAATATCTAGAAATGTCCAAACAAATTTAATAATACGAACAAAAGTAAGCAAACCTCGTTTTTTGGAAACTCGCATAACTTCGTAACACCTTTTCTTTTTCCATGATTTTTGTAAAATGATATCAAGTTCTGATATACTCGCGAGTTTTATCTGAGTTGGGCACACGTATCTGATGATAGCCTAGTGGTATTGTCTTCTTGTGTTATGTTGTGTTATGGCTCGTGTTCAAATCTTGGATATACCTTTTTTAAATATATTGCGTGGTGTAACAAAGCGTGTTATTAACTTTAACATAGTAGATCACGAAAACACTCGTTATATTGTTAGTGTGTCGTTAAGTATTGCCTTTGTACTCGGTGTTATTTTTTGTGTTCTGGCGTAGAGGACAGTAAAATGTTTAACGTGGTGGAAAAACGCGTGTTAAGTTTTTAACACATCTTAAGGATGCGTTTTATGTTTGCTTACGCATCCTTTTCATTCCTTAAATTTTATTAGCGTTTTGCAAAAAAGCGCGTTATGGTACGCACGATTTTAATGTAGTGCGTTTTAGGATCATAATGTGTAAATACAGCACTGTTGTATGGCACGTTATCTCGTTTACACATTCTAACGAGGTACTCAATTGTAAATAGTGACCCTTTGGAACACGTTATATTTTTTTATGAATTGCACTGCAATACGTTGGTGTGTGTTCTTTAGTGGTGTACGGTGTAGCACCGCAAGTTTGCGTAGCTTTAAATACTACTGTATGAAGAACTTAATGTGTTTCAACGCGATTGTTAAATGATAATTACGCAATAATTGACAACATCCTTTCTTAGTTATAATAGTGAAATTTTATGAATTCTAGCAAATTCTTAAATCATAGTATAGTGTACTGCAAAGGGAGGTAATAGCACTGTTTAAGTAAATCGAAAATGTATTTCTGGGTTGCTTGTTAACATCAAATCAAAAATAGAAAAAAGAAAAAAGAAAAAAAAGCGTTGAGACATCTATACCGCTGTTTTCCGTTGCAGCGGTTTCCAATGGAAGCAGTTTTTTGCCTAAGGAAGAGAAATGGATCTAGTGTTGCGTGCTGTAGTGGGTTTTAGGACGAGAACATAGATTTAATCTTTAATTCTGTATACTAGCTTTCTAATTACGTCGTTGTATATATAAATAAATCAAGTTTAAGTCAAAACGAAATCTATTAATAAGCTAGCACGTCTTCGGTAGGAAGCAACATCGCCGTCGTTGAATTGCGATGCATTGTCGATGATGCAATGCGTGCGAGGTGGTCAATTTCAATTTAGGACGGGTCGGACGTTATTTCACGAATGCGAGCAAATACATAAATACGGGTCGGACAAGCTGTTTAGTTGGACATTATATACATGAAGAGATTTAGTCTAGGGTTTGCTTAGTACACGCACGTAAGTTATGAATGAAAAATTTACGTTTTAACTATTGCTCTGTATGTTACTTCTTGTCCAATTTATAGAAGACACACGAGAACAAGACAGTCCGTCTTTATGAAACCGATCCTTGCATGCCAGCTTGAGCTTAGGTAAAAAAAATACTCAATTATATACCAACATTTTAACTTCAATAATTTGTGTTTGTAAGCTAATTACAACATAACGTTAATGTAACATTACTGTGAATTGATTTCATGCGCAAAGTGAAATTAAGGAGTTGACTGTTGCTGACGTGAACGCTACTCTTGATCGACATGGTGTTTAGAATGTTGATTCTTTGAGCCAATTCTAGTCCCGTATTAATATATGTTCTAGGGTTCTAGGTTTCTAGGGTCAATTTACTGTATATGGCTTATCAAACATACTATGAGGATCAATGGCCTGCGGTGTCATAACTTTTTTAGGGATTACACATGTTATCAGCCTCAATCATTGTCCAGTTCTCTTGGAAATTATGGATGGTTCCTTTACGCTCAAGTAGACCCAAATTTCGTAATTTATGACGTCTAATTCTTTGTTGTCATGAACTTTTCAAAAGCTGGTGTTCTTTTGAACGATAGCAGGCTAAACAAATCTTTTATTGACGTATATCCAAAAACTTGCCTTCTCGAAAATTGTTCTATTATATAACATTTTTACAGTAGTTGCAAGCAAACAATTATCAGGGATGGTTCTATAATAAAGTTAACTTATCTAAAGTAATGCTAGGTTAGAAATTATTTGCGAAAACCGGCTTTCTTTTGTATCATGGTTTCGTTTGAAACATATCCACTTTTATATCGTAGAAACATAAACCGTAGTATATACATCTGTATTATGTATATACTGTACACAAACCCGACGACCAAACCAAACTGAAATTTTTACTCAGCATTTACGTAGCTAAGAGTCAAAGTGAGCTGACAACTTAAACCTTGCGCCTAGGTCTTTCCAAGTAAAACATCACTCATAATTTAGTTGTTGACTATGAGTATCGTCCATCTGTACCCTTAGACTTGAACTTGATGAGTTTCTGCCCCTGTGTTCCCTGAACATTCGAATTCTACCCAGGGATATATTACTATATTGTCCAATTTTGCTATGAAAGGACATGCACAGTCACACCTGTAATATATAAAAGTGCGTGCTTAAGCTGAACTCGTTGGTTTCTTCGGATGTGAGTACTAAAGGTTTAGTCTTGGCCTCCTTAGGTCCTGCGTCGAAACAGTATTCAGCAAACGTTTAGTTACCTAATTAAGGCCTGAATTCTGACGTAGCACACCAAGGCACTGACATAATTGACATCTAATATTAGAATAGAGAAACGAATTAAACAATACGTAAAACAAAAAATCAGTGGTATCATCGAGGTCGACGTACACACATCCGGCCGTTGTCATTAAAAAAGACTTAAATAATTGCGTTCATGGCTGTTCTCCCACGAATATGCGGAGAAGCGCATTGAAAACTAGGTGGAGCTGTAGCGGTCGGCTGACCACGTGGTACCATGTGTTTGCAAGCCCCTGAGTGGCAAAAGTTGACATTTTCGCTCAACTGTACGGAAACATGTAAGCGAGAAACTCTAAACTGCTTTTGGGTGAAGCGGGTAAGCTCATTATGTTCATGAACAGACCCGGTTCTTGTGCAATTTGGTAGGAGTAGTGTCCCCCGCAAATTATTCTTTTTTATTTCAAATGGGAAAATGGCAGAAACTGTAGATATTGCAAAAAGATTTGCTCTTTGCACCAATGTTAAGTACCATATTCATCACATGCTCGTATTAGCGACGTTATGACGTGGACAGTGCTGACACCATTAGCATTCGGCACGCTTACTGGAAGTTAAAAGTATACAGATGCAAAATATGACGTTTTGGAACAAGTGACACATCATACTAGTGGTTAACATATCTTAATTTAAGTATTGTTCGTGCAATTGATTTTAAAGCAATTTTATTTTTAGTGTTATAGTTATCACACATTTAATATACTAACTAATAGATGAAAGTTAAAAAATACAAGTGGTTCACATATGTTTTGACCTATAAATAAACTCGTTCTTAGAGAAGACGTCATAAGCCCCAGTTCTCGTGTTTCCATGCACCCAGCCGATAATATCGTCTCGAAAGCATCTAAACGGTATTTAGCGTTACTTCCGCTGCGTGGTGTGTATGCTTTGAAAAAATTATGTACAAACTATAAATCAAACGTTTGTTCCCTTGGTACCTACCATTGGTTCATCATTGTCAAAGCACCTTTAAGTGTTTGGCGTCTGCACCCTCGAGTTGCTCTTAGCATACGTGGTACGAGTGCAGCTCCATTTCTGACGCATTCAATTTAGTGGGATTAGTACCGCGTGAAATAATATTGAATCGTCGCTGCTTATTCAGCAACTTTGAGTTTCTGAAACATAGCAATTGTAACACTTGGTTTGTCCAGGCGTGGTTATAACGGATTGTATTAGTTTAACTCGCGGAATTATTTCATTTGTCTCCGATATCGTTTATTACATTCGTTTTTATCTTTGAGCAGAACTTGCTTTGAAAATCAAGGGTTTTGGTTTTGTGTGGTTCATTAACTACCGGATATTTTGTATCTGTTATTGGTATTGCTGCGGTTTTTAGGTCTTTCTTTTTCGTTCAAAAATTGTTGTCGTTTTTTTAAAAGGCTACGGTCAAATTCTAATTTCCTTCATTCTTTGGGTAACATTGGTATCATGAATCTTGGAGAATTCGATACTCTTTCAAGCACGGACTCAGTCTCGAAGCCTTATGACTCTTCCACCGAGACTGGTGAGATAACTTTTAGACCTGTGTATCGGGACCACGTTGATGATACGGAGGATTTAGCTCGCTTGGGTTACAAACAATCATTCCATAGAGGTCTTTCGCTTTTCGGTGTTTTTAGTGTTTCTTTTTCCGTCTTAGGTTTACTTCCCTCGGTCGCGGCAACGCTTAACTTTTCTATGCTGGCCGGTACACCAGGAATGTTATGGGGTTGGCTCATTGCTTTGGTGTTTGTCTTATGTGTCGCTGCAAGCATGGCCGAATTGTGTTCTAGTATGCCAACATCCGGAGGATTATACTATTCGGCCAAAGTGCTTGCGCCCAAAAGGTGGGGTCCTTTGGCTTCTTGGGTTACTGGTTGGTCCAATTATATAGCTCAACTTTGTTTTCTTGGAAGCTGTATCTACAGTTTGTGCGCCTTGTTAATTTATGGTGTCGACGAGTTCGATGGCAAAGATTTTGTGTACATGAATTATCATATATATTTCCTGTGTCTTACTTTCATCGTGGTGCTTTCTATCATGGCTTCATTACCCACTAGGATAATGGGAAAGATTAATTCTGTTTTCACGTTCTTGAACATACTTTCCCTTCTCGCTGCTATCATTATTATTCTGATTAGCGCGTCTATGCGTCACGGCTTTAACACTTCCACAGGAGTATGGCGTAATTTTCAAAATCAAACCGAGTGGCCTCAGGGGTTTGCTATGTTTATGTCGTTTTGTGGTGTAATCTGGTCTATGGTCGGATTGGATACTTCTTATCATCTTGTTGAGGAATGTGCCAGCGCCTCTGTGAATGCGCCCAACGGTATAATGCTTACTGCTTTAGTTGGCGGATTTTCTGGCTGGATTATACATGTAATGATCGCATACACAGTTGTTGATTACTCGCGAGTTGTTAATGCCCCTAACCTGTGGGTTGAATATCTGATACAGGTTCTTAGCCATAATGGCGCTAAGGCAGTCATCGCTCTTACCTTGTTTTCAAATTTTCTTATGGCCCAGGGTGTATTAATTTCCTCTTCCCGTATCGCATATTCGTACGCTCGTGATGGCGTTCTCCCTTTCTCAAAATGGATTGCACGAATAAACAAACGGACCACGACACCAATTAATGCGGTCATTGCAAACAGCTCTATAGTGGCCGCTATTCTTTTGTTTGTTTTCGTCGGACAGTGTGCGATAGATGCCATATTTGCTGTTTCCGGAATTGCAGCGTTTGTTGCGTTTATTATTCCGATTGGCCTTCGTTCATTTGTCGTGAAGGACAGTAAGTTTTTTCGTGGGGCGTGGCATTTAGGTCGATGGTCTCGATTCATTGGTGGAGTTGGTACCATTTTCGTGGTGATTATGATTCCAATATTGTGTTTTCCGACTTCCATGCACCCTGGCCCTTTTGACATGAACTGGACGAGTCTTGGGTATAGTGTGCCAATGGCAGCAGTCCTTTTGTGGTTTGCTTTCGGGGCTAAACACTGGTACAAGGGACCAAAAACGGACATGCCCGGATTGGATATTCCGCGCATGTCAAGTTTTAAATGCTAAAGACAGCATATTCTTTTCCAATCATCCATCAGGGAGAACATAACTTCAAGCACGTACAAGAAAACAACACTACCATACCCGTTTCTTGTTTAGATAATTTTTTACATTTATTCGGGTTCGCACAACTTATCTTAGAGTATTGCTTTTGTTTTAAATTAAATGTTGCAATATGCATGTCATTGGCACGAACATCCGAACATATTATGCATTCCATGGCGCCTGCATTCCCAAAAACAGTCAATTTATGTAATTCATGAATGATTGCTAAATAAAAGGTTGTGTTGCTACAGAAGAAGATGATGCACCATCAAAATCAAAGATGAGCTAATAATAGATCTTCAAAACGGAATATCATATAAATTATCAAATAGTCTAATGTGACTCATCCTTTTATTTCTTTCCCGGCGTGAAATTGGAAACGGGTTATAATAATCAATATGTTACCTTTAACAGTTAGACTCATTTTAATAATCTCAAAGTATTGAACCTTAGCTAAGCTCGTAAGCCGGGTTATAGGGTTTAATATAATGGTGATGGTACCAATAATCAACACTGCAGACGGCGAAAGCGAGCACGGTCGCAAGTTGTAGGAAGATACCAAGCAAGATAATATCAGAACCGGCATGTTCTTTCCTACCGTCTTTGTTTTCTTCAGTAGCGGTATCAATTCTCGCAAATTGTATGATCAAGGAAATGACATCACTAGTGATATAAGCGAGCCCATAGAGTCTCTGGCCAAGGACACCAATATCGGCTCCATATTGCGTAACTAAATGCTTAAGTGCAGTACACATTTGTGCAGTGTAGAAAACAGGAAAATCCATGATCAAAACACATTGTATGATGTCTGGAACAATGTCTGTATCATCGTTATTGTGAGAGGAGGCATAAAGTCGGACGATCCAGGAAATTATCTCACCAATGGTTCCAATGAAAGCAGCAATTGAAGCACGACTTTGATGCTTTATTATTTCCAATAGATTGATAATTTCGCAAATGGTAAAGGAAACAATTGCTATGACGCTTAACCATTTTGTTGGTACGTACCCATAAATTTCCGATAATCTCATTTGTTAACTGAACATGAACCGTTAAAAAAGGCGTATTTCTTCACCAATGGTACAAACTACTGATACCGTAGGACGTAAAAGATTGTGCAGCAGTTCTGTTTTTTCTTTAATTATTTTTGGAGAGTGGTAGAGAGAGATAATATTTTTATATCACCTGGAAATAGGACGATGGCTTTTATTCACGTTTCGTCTATTGAACTATGCTTTCCCTTGATGCATAGGCTTTATGAGAAAAGACAAAACATAAAAGAAAAATTAAAATGCTAGGACACTGCCGTATAAACAGCCCAAGACCTAAATGCTCTTACTAGACTACAATGCATATCACACAGAGCCCAATATTTATTGTTTTCGGAAACTCCATCATCCTGAGAAACCCTGAACCCTAGGTTTAAACACGAAAAGATCAAATGACACTCAAGTCAACGGCTAAACCCACGGAAATGTATTCACGTGTCCGTAAGCAAATTAGGTTTTTGCGAGGCGTTTTTTTGTGGGGTGCCGAGAATTTTATTCACGCCAGATTTTTTTTTTTTGCAACAAATCAGTGCGCAGAATGAAAGGGCTGTTTTACTGTTGAGTATTTTTTATGTCAAGTTTCTAAAATGTGATTTGCGGGTCTACAGCTATAAAGAGCTTGAGTCATTTGACGTTAAGCGCTCGCTTCTTGGTCGTCAAGTGAGAAGGCTAATAACTGGGCTTTAAATTCCTGATCATGTCGTGGCGTAGTACCTGTACCACGCAACATGCTCAAGTTCCATCAGCCACAAAGCCGTTGTCATAGATTTGAATGCGCTGGAGGCACGATAAGGATCAAGCGGTCCCTCGAACAGTTCGCCCACGTTAGTTACTGAGAAAGTAATAATAGGCTTATTATAGTATAAGTGAATTAAGTCTCGCACCCGTAATGACCCATATTTCAACAGATAGAAAGATGAAACACTCATTTTCCTAAAAAAATTATCTCCAGTACAGCATCCAATGAAGAGCTAGACCTTTAATAGGAACAAAATGATGCACACACTGTAACTCAATGACTTATGCAAAATAGTTGTTACTGCACGAAAGCTTGCGCATTTTCGTAGCTATTCCACTTCCACGGAAACCAATTAAACTCAGGTGTTGGCTATAAGCGAGCGGCAAAAATTCGGCTTGCGAAGCTATGCCCCGCTTTCCTGTCGTCCACACGTCATATGCAGATTAATGTTAGTAAATTCACTATTCTATGGAAAGGCTAGGTCTTTGTGACACTCATTGCAAATGTGTTTTGAGGACTATTCCAAACAACAGTTTAGATTACAGCTCTAGGTTTATGTAATAAAAATTTCGCCCGCTGAGATCTACTATTATGTTACAAACACCGGTAACCCGAATTACTGTCATTGTCAGTATTATATGAAGTTTATTTGTAATAGGCTTTACCACAAGCAATTTTTAGCACTTCCCTATAATGAATCAACTATTGCTGAACATTTAGACATCCAAATAGTAGTAATATTGAGTGTTGAACGACGTAATATGGAGAGTTATTCAATTAGATACGATGCAATAAAGTCGGTACTGAATGCATTATGCATAAACGCGACTAAATGTTTGTTGACACAGTTATCAGTCTACTAATGCCGGCTCGCTGTCATGATATGCTACGTGTATTCCTCACCTGTGAATACAACTGCAAGGGCACGGCAAAAGTCCGCCTCGGTCTTCTCTTTAGCAAACTCTAAAATCCACACGTGCAACAATCTCGCCTTGCAACACAATCAACAACTGACTATGTGATACACACCTAAAGGAATGATGTAGTTATGATAGAGCAGAATTGTTATCATTCTTCGATTCCCGACGTTAAAGACGGATCTTTGTAAATGGACTGGTCACTCGTAAACGTCGCGAACATTGTCCTATTGAGACCAATCTAGAGGTTTTGTGATTGTTCACAAGTTCAACGGAAAGCTCTGTAGAAAAGAAAGAATGTAATAGGCTTTCAGCGTAAAGGCTATGTTGCTAAAGGTTGCACAGAACTCCTATATACAATTCGGCATTTAAATGCAAATCCTATTGTTGATAGTAAACGGGGAATTCATAGTTGCAAACTGTGCTTCGTAGTCAACCAATTGTATTCACAGGCTCGTTGAATTAATAAATTCGCTATATTGGCATCTTGGCACAGGCATTAGAATAGATGTGCCGCAAGTTATACGCCTTGGGTAAAGTAATTGTGTTACTTTTGCTTATCATTTTCTAGAAGACGCTGCACACTTTCATTCGATAGCAAACCTTACATTGCTCACAATTAAAAGCATTGAACTACAGGATTTTTATTACGATACGATCTTCTTGGTTCGTATCATTTGATAGTTAAGTTTTGTCGCTGTAAGGCTTTGTATCAATACTAAATATTAACTAACTATGATCCTGACCTTAAGTTATTCTCGTAACGTAATCTGGTCTTTCAAATTGTAATTATTCGTTATATTTTTTCTTTGGCATTACTTCTTTATCTTTTTAATAGGTCCCGTTTTAATCATATTTTAACACACAAACGGTAATAGTATTTAGTATAACTAAGACAATGTTTATGCACAAAACAATTGTTCTTTGCCTTCATTGCTTAACACGATAACGAGTTTTTCACGAGTTGATTTCCTTGTTTGTTAGAAAGCCACAACCTAATCGCAATTAATTAAGTGAACATTATCTGTCAATGAAAACATGCAGTACGCATCTCATGTGCAATCTAGGCTAACCATAATTGAATGTGTGATTATAAACGCCGACTCTGAGGTAACATGTTTTCATGACTTGGCTTAACTTGACTCGACTGACAGGATGGGAGGGTGCGATGCAAAGTTGTGAGAATTATTATCCCTGAAAATGGCATGTGTATTGCTTATTTAGCTTTAAGTATAAGTTCATATGTCTATATCATGGGGGTTGTTTATTTACATTTACTCATGGAACATTAATCATGTTTACCTTTTACTTTGCATTTGTGTCACTTCACGCACTGTTTATTTAGCCTCTGGGAGTTAGCGACCACTAGGCTAATGTCAATGCCACACTACAAAGTTCACAAGTACGTTTCCAAGTACGATGCTTTGAATTAGTGGAAACGGTGCAAATACGACACATCAACAAGACTCCTGAAATGGCTTAGATAATCATGTCATTCAATACAATATGCTTTAAAGAAAAAGTATAGAAAGGTAAGAACCCAAAGGAAATTCAGTGCATTATGAAGTTATCAAGTATCCCTCTTTTGTTAGCTTCCGTTTTTGCTTGCAAAGCCGTTAGTGCATACTCCGGCGATTACGATTCTCTTCTAAATGACATTGTCAAAAGCGATTATGATTCACCGTCTGGTGGCGAAGGACAGGTAACGCTGTCTAGCCTGTCGGGCTTGTCCACCTTGTCGAGCCTGACAAAGCGCGATGCTGAACCGTACTTCAAGGAGCTTGATATGTTTTCATTCGATAACTACGAGAAACTTACTAAGGTTAAAAGTATGCTCGCACACGCGCAATCCAATGAAATGTTGGGTGATGCACTTTATCTTTACAACTTCATGGATCGGAACGGCCATTCAAAAAGCATCACGCTAAATGACTCATCCGAGTTTGTTACTGAGACGTGTAAATTACTTTCCTCCTATGGTTTGAATAGCACCGATATTCTTGTTTCTACAGCGTCAAGTCCGTTCCTCGTCGATTTTTACAAGAATTTCGATATATCTGTTTGTGACGCTAAACATCAGATGAAACGGGAAACCATGGAATGCAATCAGAGTCATTCCACTGATTCAGCAAGTTGTACTATTTTATATCATACACTCGGTGGTTTTGGTACTTCTCCCATCAATCCTAGAAGCTGGTGTGTTGGTGTCTGTTGTATTTCTTGGAGCGCTCCTGTCCAATTTAGTGCAGGCTGGGCGCAAGATAAGCTCAAGTCATGTATTGATAGATGCATACCGCCAACCGGAAGTTGTCAAATTAGGGACACAGTCTACGGTAGCACTCATTTTAGTTTTTGCGTTAGCAACAGGGGTAGTGGTTGTTCGTAATAAAGTGAAATGTTGAATGAATTATTATTTTCTTTTCATCTCTAAAAGGCACGACTTCACAAATGTAATGAAGAATTTGCTTTCTTTTATCAAGTTTGTTACTTTATATCTTTTTAAATAAGCGGGAAGACAGCTGTATTAACGTCCGCGTGTATTATAGGGTATTATACTACCGTGGTGCCCCCCTTTTTATAAACTCCGGGAAGTGCGAACCAATGTTCTGAACGTGGACAATCCATATAGTTTGGAATTCACGAGCAGAAGAAGCTTATTATATTACCATATCAACTTATTTATTGTCGCAGGTTGGTAGTCAATGACTCGCATAAATTAACGAATGCTAGACAAGTCGCACGTAAGCTCTTAGTAACATCGATGAGGGCGAAATTTTGTTTTTTTGTTTTTTTTTATAGATTATCATATAACCGGTCCACAAATTGGAAAGTCCACTTCATTCATTTAATAGCATGCTTTAAATTTCTAAAACTTTATAAAGCATGTTCGGATAATTCAAATAGAGGGCTAAATTTATTCACAGGCTATTGAAGATATTTATATATGCTGGAAGTTCAACTGTGTCTTCCTCACGTTATGGCTATCCACAACTCACACCGTACAATGGCAGCGTCCTCGATTGCCGTATACCCAACCAACAGCATACTTTTTCATCAAACAACTATAGCCCCGAACGGGCCCGAGTCCCAACCGACGAACTTAACCTCAAATAAAGCCAGATCCCGTAAACCAACTCTTTAAGCAAAATATAAAGTTCCCTTCGACCACTCACTGCCAAATAACATCGTGAAAAAGTGAAATTCATTTACTCTATTATGTGCGAACAACAACCCAACAATGTCCCACCTGAGACACCGACCGGGACAGCTACTCAATCATCTCCGAGGACGGAACGGATGCATTTTCTAGGCCATTCGGCTCCAATCATCATACTTGACCCCGGGATAGATTTTAATTACTTGTATAACAAAGTAAGTTAAAACCACTACTGATGATGGTTTGTAGAGAAGAAAAGACGTTTCTTTTATACTAAGAACTTTCAGGGTAAGGGTTATGATACTGCTGCATACTAGGGTAGGGTTAGACTTTTTCTCTCCAGGTATGGCATGGGGCAATGTGTCGTCGTACTCGCTTACTTTAATAGCTTATTGTCTAATGCGAAACATTGACGTAAATCCTGTAGAACTAAGTTTCGCTTTACATTAAAACAATGATAGCAATGGTGATATTTAGAATATAACATAAAGTATGTGCTAATCATTCTGATAGTTATTGGGTTTCTGTTGCATAGCGTTATATCAAATCTCTAATTTTAGTAATGTTAATAAACCTCTACGCAATATTTAAAATTACGTGTTGTAGCAAAATAAACTATTTTTCTTGTCATTTGACGAAATTGAACTCAATCACTAGAAATGGTGGAAGTGAGGGTTGAGCTTAAGAAAAAGGAAAGCAAAGGCAAATGTTACTTACATTTACGTCACAACGGTTACTGTGGATGACTTGTTTCATTCCCATTTCGCTTTTCATAACACTGCAACAATTGCCTTGTAATCAATATGGCTGATTTGTTGAAAGACATTTTGGGATGCAAGCTTTTCAACCTACTAGACATCTGGGAAGATCATCTTAGTGATGACACATGCTTCAAATACGAGAAAGCTGATCCTGCGAACCCCAACGCACTTACGGTAACAGCAATAACGGCCAACGAAGCAATGATTAGTCGGATCACGGTTGTTGGAGCAAAACCTGTTCAACCGTACTTGGACTATATAGCTGAGTGGTCAAGGAAGGCAGCAGAAGAATTGTCTGCTAACGGAATTGCGCCCGAAAATTGGAAAATTACCAGACAGGATGTCAATGAATTTGCCTGAGACATAAGGTGACAATTTTTCGGAGGCAATCTGAAAGGCACTTCTTTGATACGGATATTAGTTGTTAAATGAATGAAACGAAAATTGACAGCTCAATTCTTTTGGAAATGGTTATATTACAGATTAAATTGCAGATGCTGCCTGAATAATTGATGATTTCTAATTGCATATTTCCTACTTTTCGTATCGAGTATTGCTGATAAACCCTAATACCAGGCCAAGGCAAAAAGCATCCACCATAAAATCTCCTAATAGTGACATGTGATACCTTGCTGTGAGCAATTGTGTGCAAGTAACAAAGTGTACATATACTCAGTATCGTAGTACAAAGGTTCTGATAACCAGCTAACAATATTAAAGCGTGTAGAGGCACTTCACTTGAATTTCAGAACTACACATACTTGCAAACGGAATCACGTGTACTTCTATATGTACGAAACAGGTAGCAGCAAGATTTTTTTTCCCGTTTACTTACTATAAGAACTGCGATTAACAAGACAGTGAGGCTACCTAACTCGATCCGACTTTAGGAGCCCAAAACAAAATCTATCAAATTTCTCTATGAATCCGCCACTGCAGAGCCCGGTAACTATCCGCAGACGGTACTGCATTCAGGGGCAATGCAAGTACGAAAATACCGACACCCCTTAACGCTTGAAGCATTACATCAAACAGCGGTACTGGATCGTTCACTAATGAACACCAGCGAAGAGGCTCCTGCTCAGTATCTTCTGTGTATGGTTACTGTGCAAACTGATTAGTCGTGATTCTATAAGGCCACACATTGAGGGCTTTAGATTCTCAATTGGCTCAGAATAAGAAAGTTACAATGAGAAAACATTAAAGTCGATCATACATACACTCGAGAATCAATGTTTATTAAGAATTACAGTAACTTTATTGTGATGCTTGGTTTTACACATTACTGTACATACTTAACAATATTCTACAGCTACTACACACCATTAAGCTTTGAAACGTGGGCAATGCGGCTCCTCGAAGTCTAGAACGTAACTCTCCCGAATGTTACGGGAAGTCACCTATTGCTAGCGGTGCACGTGAACACGACACTCAGCAAGAACGAGATCAACTACAAAGAGCAGACTACGGTTTTCATGATAGCTGGAACTTCTGGAATACCGTGCCTCAGGTATTCTGGCATGACGATATGGTTCCAGATGCCGCGTGCTTGTAATAGGTGTAGAACAAGCTCTCGCTTGTAGCGACTCTGCCGAACATGTCGTAATACCAAACAGAGTCCTTGGAAGTACGTAATCAAAGGCAGCCAGTCGGATTTCAATGGATTTGCTCTATCGCTTTTGCTCTTCAGTCGCTAAGTAATGAAAATACCATAGTGTCTACTCCATAAATGTTTTAAAAGTTTGCCAACCTACGTTCATGAATTAGAATGATATATTAGCACAAAATTAAAAAAGTCATAAAACTGTAAATCGCTCCGCGATGTAATTGGTGTTAACAAGCGCACAGACTGTGGAGAAGCCGCTTCAACTGCCGAAGACCCTGTTGTTAATTATGAACCCCTTGTTTTGTGAGCCTCTTTACCCCCTGGTAATGCGTTCCGCGACACAAACAAACCCCTTTGCAGCGTCGTAGTTGATGAATTGCCGAAGCTTCTGAACCAATTCCGTTAGCATGCCATTGTGATGATTTTTTCAGATTTACCGTCAATTTTTTGTATATAAACGCTACTTGTTGCACCCTTAACTCCACTTCATATTTCTTGTTCGGCTCGTTTACATCTACTTTTATTTTTTTGACAATTAGAATCAACCTTATCCAATTTAAGAAATGACTAGCGCTTTGGATTTTCTAGGTCAATTGCCTGGAACACTGTATACTCAACTGTGTCTTTGTTACGGTGTAGAAGACTCAATTCCCTATCCACGACTTCTAAAGACAATTAAAGACGGTTTGCAAAGGCTTGCCGCCGCCTTCCCTTGGGTAACGGGTGAACTGATTACTGAGCCTGCTGGCAATGGCCGTTCAGGCATTCGGAAAATCAGATACTCAGGCAAAATTCCGTTTACTGTGAAGGACCTGAGAAATAATTCGGATATGCCAACAATGAATGAACTTCGTCGCACAAACTTTCCTTTCCGCTCTCTTGACGAAAATCTTATTGCTCCCTGCGATAGTGTTGCTTACTCAGAGAGTACGTCGGACTCCGAGTCTAACGCAGAACCGGTATTTCTGGTGCAAGCTAATATCATTATTGGGGGTTTGGTACTTACCTGCGTCGCTCATCACAGTGTCATGGATATGACCGCACAGGGCGAAGTAGTGCGCTTACTTTCAAAGGCCTGTCACGGTATTCCGTTTTCGTCGGAAGAATTAGAAAATGACGACCTACTTAAACGCACGCCGATACCGATGCTCCAAGAATTAGAGGAACCAGAAACTGAACTTGCCCCACAACTAAGGGAACCGAGCGAGTCCCATTATCTTTGTTCTGGGACGAAATTTAACCCCACGCTGCCTAGTACTGCCAAGTGCAGTTGGAAATATTTCCTCTTTAGCCAAGCGGCACTCGACGATATAAAAATGCTGGCGTCTAGTGCTCTTTCAAACACCGGGAAGTTTGTTTCTACAGATGATTCATTAACTGCGTTCATCAGCCAAGCCGTAGTCCGTGCTCGTATGCATCGCTTGGAACCTACAGAAGACATCAGTATCTGTCGATTCGTGAATGTACGAAGCATCTTAAACATCCCTCGCACACACCCCGGTTTTTTGATTAACGCTACCTATACTACACAAGCGGCAGGAAAGATGGCTACCGAGCTCCTAGGCCATGTCGCCTTACAATTTCGATCGGCTTTGGAACCCAGCGACTTAGAACACAGAACTCGGGCACTTGCCACATACCTTCACAAAAATGAGGACAAAAGCGCCTTCTCGTTTGGAGCCAAAATTGACCGATCTAAGGGATTGATGCTCAGTTCATGGGCAAAGTGCAAGATTTACGGATTAGATTTTAACCTTGGGTTAGGAACACCTGAGGCCGTACGTCGTGCACAGGACCAACCATTTGAAGGATTCGGCTATTTGATGCCTAAGGCCCCTAATGGTGAAATTGCATTGGCAATCTGTCTGCGGGATGAAGATATGCAACATCTGAAGACGGATGCTAAATTCATGAAGTATGCAAAGTATGTAGACTAAAATGCGTACCGACTCTTTTTGCTTGTTATGATTATTTAATGAATGTTTGTTTTTCATGTACTAATAAGCGGTTAAATAGTAGTTTTGATGCTTTAGCTTTAAATTTAAGTGATACTTAAAAGAAGAAAAAATTATGAATAATAATTAAAGGGAAAAAGGAAACAGCTAAATAAAGATTCTACTATACATAAATTTCCTTTTTGCTGTAATGACTGAATTATTACATGCTGAATGTGCAGTGAGTGGACTTTATATATTACAAGGGTCCATTATTCTCGGAACAAGCTGCATATAGTAGTCGCCGAACCAACCAACTTCTTACGACTTGCGTAATCCTTACTTCATCTAGTAAATTTCTGTTTGTTTTTCGATCAGTAACTAAAAAAAAACTCATCGGACTAAACCCTGGACTAAACCTTAGGCCTAGATTATACAGGCTTAACCTACTCAGTTTCGTTATTAAAGATGTTTTAGTGGAAAGCACCAATTACCCAAGATCATAAATAAATATTAAAATAAATAAATCCAAATCATACACATTCAAGGATAGTTAGAGATTAGCATTCTAGGGTAGTTCCTTTCATTTTGTGAAATTAACCAACGTAAACAGCATATTTACTAAGCTCCTCATCCATTTTCAGGTGTTCCATGTCTTCATCTCTCAAACAAATTGCTACCGCAACTTCGCCATTCGCACTCTTGGGTAGTATGTGAGCAACACCTTCAAAAGTCATTGACAAGGGGATTCGTATAGCCTCTGGTTTTCCCAAATGAAGATTGAAATCAAGATCACGACAGTTTACCTTTGCCCATGAGCTTAAAACCAATCCTTCAACGGAATTGACTCTTGGACCAAGTGATATGGCACTCGTATCCTCTATACGGGAGATACAGGTCGCAACTTCTCGGGTTCTATATGCTAGATCCGAGGGATCTAAAGCCGAGCGAAGTTGCAATGCAACGTCACCTAGTGCTTTCTCAGCTAATTCCGCAACCGTGTAAGTGTGATAGACTGGACTTATGACAAAACCAGGGTAACCAGGAGGGATGTCAAGAAATTTTCGAACATTTACAATGCGAGAGCAGGTTACATTGGCTGTAGGGTTTAAGCGAGAAAGGCGTGAGCGGATAACAGATTGATAAATCAAAGCAGTCAGTGAGTCGTCAGTGGAAACATAGCTTATAGAGTCTGATACGGCATCGCAAGCAAGTAGCTTCAAATCATGAAGTGACTTTTCATCAAAAACAAAGCATCTCCAGTTGCACTGCGAAGATAGTAACCACTTACTTTTGTCGTTATTGTTTGTTTCATTTGAAGTTCTTATATGGTGACCAAGTTCTGCTGCTGGCTTATAAGACTCGTCGAATACTGGTATGATATTTTGACGGTCTAGGTTACCACTAACTAGTTCTTCACTCGTGAATGGCTCCTCATGGCAAGCCTTTGATAATAACCGGATAACCTCACCTAACCCGGTTATATCCATTGCGCTGTGGTGGCCAGCAACGGTGAGCAAAAGGCCTCCGGTTATAAGATTAGCTTGTATCATAAAAACGGGTTCTACATGTGCTTTAGAATCCACTGTAGCACTTGGGAGAATAATGCTACGACAAGGCGCGATGTCACTTTCATCCAATGAGCAAACGGGGAATTTGGTTTGTCGAAGCTCATTCATTGTTGGTATCGAATGCTCCTCATTTCTCAAGTCTTTGATAATGAGTGGGATACTGTTTGTGAACTTAATTTTTTTAGTTTTCAAGTGATTTTCGGAAGCACCATCAAAAACAACCTCGCCTGCAATCCAAGGAAACGCTATTGAAAGTCGATGAAGGCCGTTTTTCAACGTTTTTTCGATGCACACATATGAAGGAGCGTCGAGTGAGTAGATAAGACATAATTGAGTATAGCGTGGAATAGGTAACTGGCCTAGAGCATCTAATGAATAATACATCAAAAAAAACAATGACGCCTTAAAAAGAATAATTGCTTAATTTTTTTCTGTCTTGGTACACTGGAGGGCCGGTTTTAATAAGGTTTTCGACTTAAATCAAGTGACTAAGTGTTAGTGAATAACCGTAATTGGTAATGTATGTGATTATGATAACATGAAATGGTTTAAGCGATTTTTGCGAAAAGTGGTTCCAGTATTTTTTATTATAGCTGCGAAATCAAGTTTAAAGGAGCACCTAACATTGACTATAAAAGGGGCTGAAAATAAAATAAAATTTAGCTTTCATCATTCTCTATGATGGCTTGGTGTTTGAAAAAGTAGAGCCACAGGCCATACAGTTCATGAGCCTTTGAGTATATTTATGTAAAGACTAATTAATAACTATTTTGCGCTCAGTACAGCACAAAATAGTAACCTTGTCACATTATTAATGTACAACTGATGATACGTTCTAAGCCTTTTTTCGTGTTGGTGTTATAAAGTAGCCTTTTTCTTGAATTGCGATATTCAGGCGCTTTCCTGTACTAGTATACGCATGATGCTTAATACTTTCGACGACAATTGTCGATACGATAATTTTAGGCGAACTAGATTACAAAGTCGTCTCCCTCTAAACGAAAGTACTTAGTTTAATCCTTTTGCTGTTAGATTATCGATTCCGCAGAAATGCGATGAGCATTCGAGTTTAGTTGACTCTAATTGTTTGTAGCTAGACAAAAGTAGCTGCAAGTGTTGAAAATTGGTTCTAGCCAGTAATGTTTTGTTCATATCTGGTGACGATTTATCACCCTGATCTAAAACCATTTCACGTACAGCCCTTTCGTAATGACAGGATAAAAATCCCGTAATTCATATTTGTGTCCCATGCGATAAGATTAAGCCGTTTGTATATAAGAGTAACATTTAGGCGGGTACATATTGTATTAAAGCAATTGTTGTGTATTAATTAGTTCACTCTACTACAATTGCAGTGTCTGTGTCTTAAGTAAGAGAAGGCTGTGCATAGAAAACGTGCAGCGATAAATAAATCATACTAAATATATATCTGTGGCCACGCCTTAACATAGTTTTGCGGTTTGCCCACGTCTATTATCCATGCCGTGCTAAAATTCAGTATGTCTATGTAAGCCTTGGAGTCATAAGTCTTGCCTACGATATTTCTTTAAAGGATAGCACTGAAGTCGTTGAAAATGTATCCTGTCAATAATTAGAGGGTATTGTTGTATAGTACACTATATTACTTTAATGTCTATTCGGAAACTATTAATGCTTTTAGTTGTTATATAAATAAGTTTTCTTATTGATCAACCACGTCTTTCTTGTTAGTAACTTTCAAACGATGTAGAACATTTTCTTTTATTAGATATCATGGAGTATTATTTTGTTCGGCAATTTTAAACACGATTTTAAACCGTAACATATACAAGTATTGGAGAAGAAGGATTGATTTTTTCTGAAATATTATTGAACCAACTATGCCGAATAGTAGTTTTGTCAATTTAATTATCACCGATTTTTGTGGTACTGTTGAGTCCACAATTATAGGAAAACCAATAGCGAAAATCAAAGCGTAAGATAAAAAAAAATAAAAGCTGAAAACAACGCGAATGACATCAGAATATGTAAATATCGATTAGCGTTAAACGTTGCCCTTGCACAGTTTACATTTGGTCGCACATTTTAAGTCCTACTATTGCAACGAGTTACACGAGTAAATCTATTCGTACTTCCTTAACCAAGACAAAGGACGATAATATTTTCCCGATTATGTTCGTAAATAAGACGGTTATTTTATAGAATACATTATCACATCTAGGAATAAGTAGTTTCGGCATTACAAATAAACAAGTACTGGGACTGAACTTTATTCGTCCTATGGTCCAGTTCTCGCAGCATTGGAAAAACTTTTGCAAAAAAATCAACCTGCTGGATAGAAAAGTAATGATGCATTTTGAATGTTCAGTAATTCAGTCAAGATAAACTATTCGCTTCTAATTAATCCTCAAAACTAAAGTAAACTCGGTGAATGGAGTACTTTGTCATCCGGCTTCTAATTAATAAGCTTACTTGTGCATGCAAATATCTTCACATTCTAAAAATCACATTGAATCTCACTCATATTACACAGAGCGATCGAGTCGGCGTCTTGTCGTTGACTCGGTACTATGTGTTGTATATAATTAGCTAGTAATTATGTTACATTCCTACTTTTCATATATACCACTTCGGTTAAGTGACAGTAGTTGTTCGTATTTTACTTCCTGTTCAATATTTGTTTAAGTTACACATTATTTTTAATAAGTGCTATAACCATACCCAAACTCTTGCCAAATAGATGTCCATTTTATGGTCTAATTTACTCGTCTAATAAAAGAGAATCCAACAAAACTACAACAATTTAAAAGACTAAAGACTGTTTAAATTAGATCGAACTGTCTATTAACGTTAACCGTTGAAATGAGAAGTTGATCGTATCAGCATTAACATACAAAATATCGAAGTCAACATAATTACGAATGAAATACTGAACTTAATACAACTGGATGTGTTCTTGATAATTTTAATTAGTTTTTGATATTAAATAATACAAAATGCAATATAGCAAAGAAATCCTCATTTGAATAAGAAGGAATAAAATTAGATTGAAATTATTGTACGTACTATAATGTCGTTCTTTATAAAGCCGTTAAGCAAAGGCATATAAGGCAACATAAATCGTCAGACTACATTTCGCTTAGGTTGCAAAAGTGTTAAGGAATCGCATCATGTACCTTTGGATAATGTCGATATAGGCGATTCTGTAGAAAAAATATCATGTGATTAGCTATTTAATTGAATGACCTTTGGGGTTTTGCTCCTAAGTATATGATGAATTCGGGTTGCACAGTAGTAATTACCTTTTGCTCTTTCACCTATACTTATAATAGATTAATATTTATGTATTCAAGCACATAAACAGTAAATCAAGACTCGCTGTAGATCTTTTTATTGAACACTTTAAAATACAGATAGTCTTGAGTGGGATTATCAACAAATAGAACAAAATAGGCACAGTGCTTTACACAAATGCCTCTTCAGCATGAGTAATTGATAATGCGGATTTTTCTTTACAAGAAATCCTTTGCAATGAACAGTTGGTGCTTAAAATTTCACTTGCCATATTTTTAGGGTTTTGTAATAGTCCAGAGAAGTGAATGTATACGATCTTTATATATTTCCTTTCTATAGATGCATTTTTAACGAATTAAAAAGAATATTGAAACGCACGGATTAAAAATCATTATCATGCGTGTTGTCATTAAGTTATTCGTAAAATACAATACTTGTTAAAAGGGTAACCAGAACACAACGTGTATTACCATCTCAAGCTGCAAGTTCCTTCTTTTTCTCTAAACTTGAAGTTTCGCAAGTCTCTTCAATAACCTCTTTATCTTCATACACCGGAAGAGATGGGCGGGTCCACGTAATGATAGCCTTGCAAATCCTAAGTATTTCCTTCCTTCCCTCATATAGAGGAAAGATACCTACCGCCATGACAGTAAAAAATATCCAAACTAGCCCAGCAACAATCCATGCTGTAAAAAAACCTTTTGAGAAGATGTATCCAGAGCCATACATAGGCCAAGGCCAAAGAACAATAAAAAACAAGGTCGATATTACAGCAGATATCCGTGCAAGCTTGGCTGCACGTTTCATCTTTCTTTCCTCCAATAATTCGTCATAATCGAAACCATGATCAATCCGGAAATACTCCAGCAATTGATTAAAATCAAATTTGTGAGGGTTCCATAACGATAAAACCACGACATAAATTACAGGACTTAATAACCCGACAACATTTCCTGCAAGCATCGGATTGTTGGCTCCTGTTGTTTCAATCGTAAGTTTTGATCCACCCTCGCAACGAGCAACAACTAGCCAGCTAACCAAACTGGATGCTAACCCAAGAACTGGACTAAGCGCAGCCGCAAGGGGTGTGGTTCTGTCCCAAAGCATTATCGCACAAGCGGGAACAACAGCAGGACAAACAAGCACGCCCATTAAAAGGTAAAGGTAACCCATAGATACACCAGCATAATGCAGGCCGACAGCAAATCCGGACATGGAAAACCCAAACACAACTAATGCAATGTGACCCATGCCAAGAAGCTCACGACCACCCGCCCTTGGATGGATGTATTGCTTGTAAATATCGTATGTAAAAATCGAAGAAACAGCAATTAGTTCGGCCGAAGCAGCGGAAGTCACCGCCATAAAAACCAAAAGGAGTGTTGCATTCGCCCCCGTCTTTTCCATTAACGCAACTGCAGCATACGGGAGAACCAGTCCCTCGCTCACCTCCATGTCAGACATGCGATTAGGAAACGTAGGGAAGTAGCTCGTATTCTCTAACGCCAAACAAACAAGTCCCATTGTAGTGGCAGCGAGCCAAGGGATAGCAAACCACGCGAGTCCCCCAAGCAAATACCCGGGCAAAGCTGAAGCGGGATTAGCAGCGATTGCTTTTTGCCAGTATCCATTATCGACAAACACAGTACCAAAGTTACCCGCTAGATTGATAATGAAAAAAATAGCACCTTCGCGGCTGCGCATCGTTAAATAACTACCCTGTGCATTTCCTTCAACAGGGTGCTGTTCGCCGGCTGATTTTAACAATTCCCATACTTTTCCAGGTGATCCTAATCGACTGCTTCCTGCATACGCAGCAAGGCTGAACATAATAAGGATCACCAGGATGATAACCGTATGAATGTAGTCAGTAAGAAACGTTGCTTTGATGCCTCCAAACATCGTATAAATGATAACGCCAACAGGCAGGAGAAAGCAAACAGCGGGAACACCAACACCGGTTAATGAAGAAATTGTAGCAGAACCGCCTGCAAGTAACATCGCCATAACCAATATATTTGTGATAAAGGCGAAAAGCAGAAAAACGCTGTGTGTAAAACTTCCACATCTCACACGCACTACTTCCAGGAAAGTGTGTGCACCGGGTGCTCTGCGTTTCAGCTCAATTGCTAATACAGTAAATAGAAGAATCTGTACACACGCACCAGACGCGTACCAAAATGCACCTGAAATGCCATACTGATATGTTTTTTGGGAGCTAGTAAGCAAAGTAGAGGCCCAAGTCCAACTACTCACCACTGCACTAGCCACTAGCCCTGTACGTACGCTGTGTGAAGCGGTGTTGAAATGCTCCGAGGTCTGTGTTTCGTTATTGAAATACTGAAGAATCCATGAAATCACAATCATTATAGCTGCAAAGCCGAGACCAAGGCCAATCACTATGCCGTAGCCGGCAGCCTCACTCAAAGGTGGATTAATAGCCATTTTCAACTTCTATATTGGCGCAATTTTTAGCAGATGCTAGTGACTCTTTTTCCCTTTATTGAAGAACTGTGTGTCCAAGCCGTTAATATGCTATTACTCGTACAAGCAATCAACCAGATGTGACATATACAAGTACAGTAAGATTGGTTTGTTGAAATGTTAAGTTTGGATATAAGAACTATTACCTGCCATCGACGCTTCTTTAAATGAACAAGGTGAGTGATTGTGCATCAGTGTCTTCAACATCTCTCTGTTAGCATCAGTGATAAAGCTTTTTCCCGTAATTCAAATGGATGATGCTCATTATCTCGAATGCGTGGACGAACTTGATGTTGTTTAAGGGGTTACCTTCAGTATCTCTTCTCGAGATAAAATTACTCATACGAACAACCGTATTTCAGGAGAAGACAGATCAATTGTAGTTCTGAAGCCTCTTAGATATTCTGGTAGCTTGATTGAGAACGCGCTCAGGAAGTATTATTCCATTATCATTGATAGTAACACTAACAGTATTTAATGCCGGTAAAATATATCAAAAGGCGCAGGTTCAAGATATATATATATATATATATATATATTTTTTTTTTGTTTTGTTCTTCTTAACTCTGCTCATTAAACCTTGTCCTTTTTTAATTCGGCTGTAAGGAAATCTTCACTCCTTCACGTGCTATTCACAAGTACTTAAGAAAAGAAATGACTGCGAGGGGGCATTGCTATTTTTACATTCTGATTATACCATGCGCCACTTTTTGGTGTAGCGTTAAGAGAAAATGATCTAGGATACGAAGTAAAAGGAGAGTCCAGCGGATTTATGTACTAGCACTTATTGATAGTTAATTTAGATGGGGATAATGTGTGGATTGATAAAAATTCCATGTCACATATACGACATTGCATCAGACAAGACAATGTACCCTTCTTCTGTTATTGTATTTGACGAAGTCAATCCACTGTCTCGGCCTCAAAGCTTAGTGACACAAGATAATCATAGTATCACATGCAAAGTCACTTCCTGTATAACGTATTTTCTGAGGCAACACCAACCACTTACACTCGAGCAATAAAGAATAACAGGTGCTGTTTATTTCCGTTCTTGCGCTAATTATTGGTGCGGATCACGGATGAAGATCAAGGCCGATCTGCGCGTCAAGCCAATAGGTGTAGCGCTAAATCAAACATATAGAGAAATCCGTCGCATGATCTGCACCCGCTGATTGACTGCGAAGAGATCTACAGTGCTGATCTTCCCAGATGTGTCGATCGTGACGATGATTTTCGTTGAATAGAAAGGTAGAAATAGCAGTAATTGCAAGCGTAGAAGTTGTTTAGCGCCCATCGTTACGCAACAATTAGAACAATGACCCAGGAAAAACGTCTTCCAGTAGCGATTTTGTCAGGCTTTCTCGGTAGCGGAAAAACCACTTTGCTTCAACATATCCTAACTTCGGATGAACATAAACTGAAGTGTGCTGTTCTTATCAATGATGTTGCTGAAGTAAATGTTGATGCTGGTATTGTACAGAGACATCGTGTCGATCAGAAGGCGGAGAAAGTCATCCAATTGCAGAATGGATGTATCTGCTGTACTTTACGAGAAGACGTTTTGGAGGAAGTCGCCGAACTTGTTCGTGATGGCGGGTTCGACTACCTTATCATTGAAAGTACAGGTGTCGCTGAGCCCATGCAGACGGCAGAAGCCTTTACTAAAGAATACAGTGATTCGCTTCTTGAAGTGATCCAAGAAACCGAGGGACAAGAACGGTCATTAGAGGTTTCTGACGAAATGAAAAAAGTGCTTGAAAATGGCGGACTATCAGCTCTCTCTAAAAATTGATGCCTGTATTACCGTTGTCGATGCACACACCTTTTTGGAAGATTTCAATACCGCCGATATGCTCAGTGGTAGATATGGTGATAGTGTTGACAAGGATGACGAACGCAATATTACAGACCTGCTTGTTGATCAAATCGAATTCGCAAACGTCATTATTTTGAACAAATGTGATATGGTTTCGCCAAGCGTAAAGGCCGAAATAACAAAAATCATAACCGCCATGAATCCTTCAGCTACGGTAATCCCAACTTCTTATGCAAAAGTGAATCTCAGGGAAGTGCTGAACACCGGCAGATTCAGTTTTATCGAAGCGGCAACCGGCGCCGGTTGGCTTCAGAGTTTGAGAAATTCAAGCATCCACAAACTGAACGGCAAATACAAATTGTCACCCAAGCCTGAGACAGCGGAATATGGAATCTACACTTTTGTCTACCGGGCACGCAGGCCTTGCCATCCAAAGAGGCTGTGGGATTTTATGACAAGTGTCTTCGTAATGCAGCAAATTACGATGGAAGAAGAAGAGGAAGAAGCAGACGCTATGCAACAAGACCCAAATGAAGATCAAAACATAGTTACTGAAAACGGCGCTGACGAAGATGATGCTATGGATGACGCTATGGATGATGCAGACGAAGAGGAAATCAATATCCCCGAACGTTTGGAGAAACGGAAGAGTCATCCCCTTTTCAGCAAACTATTCCGCTCTAAAGGTGTGTTTTGGCTTGCAACAAGACAGAATCAAATGGGAGAGTGGTCACAGGCCGGCGCCATGTTAACAATCAACGGAGGCGGTGAATGGTACTGCGTGACACCAGAAGAAGATTGGCCGTCATCTGAGCGTGGACGCAAGGCGGTTTTGGCCGACTTTGAAGGCAAGTACGGTGATCGCCGACAAGAGATTGTGTTTATTGGTGAACGGATTAACCCTGAAGAAATCACAAAAGTTTTAAACGAGACACTTTTAACTGACGAGGAAATGTCGAGATGGGAGGCAATTGTGAACAACAATAAGCTTACCGGAGCCGAACAGTCGATCGCGTTGTGTAATGAATTCGAAGACGGATTCGAAGATTGGGATTAGAAATGATACAGGGTTGCGATCCACTTATTATACGGACTTAATGGACTTAGAGAATTGTTACCATTGTAATAAAAAATAATATAGAATACACACCCGAATTGTTTCGGCACGGAGAAAAAAAAAATACGTTAAACCAAAGATTTAACTGTTTGAATGTACACGAGCGTACTATGCATGATGGACGAGTTTTGAATCCAGCCTAAAATTGAGGAAGAGGATAATTATATACAACAACAACTAAAAGGCAATGTTATTGCTTTAATCGAAATTAGGTGGCATTATATATTACATTATGAACGATAGTGACAACAGCTTCTGCTGTTAAACGAGTCCTGCTCAGATGCTGCCTTGGTGGTGTGGAAGCGTAACATTTCTTGAGGTAAGAACTGTAACTATGTCGAAAAGGAAACAACTAATAAACCGTTAAACCACATATACATGTAAGCTAATACGTTGTCTTGTTATCTTATTTTAAGTGATCCCATAAGTTTCTTGAGTTTAAATCAATTAGTTGCTGCCCTAAGTCATTTCGGAGTAAGGGCTTACTAATTCGCTTGCGGTCTGGGCACAAGATCGCATCGCTCATTTTTCAAATAAAATACTATTAACCTGCGACATTCCCGTGAATACTACGTCGGCAAAACATACGTAATATGTACTGATAGCATAAATGTAAACCAACCCTGTTCTCTAACAGATGGTATTCAACAAGCAACAGAGTTGGTTCCTTTTTTGTTACTCTGAGACTAATCTGATAAAGCAAGATAAAAGTTCACCGTCAAGATGGACGGGTTCACATAGGAGAACTCAGCCTGTGCTTGTTGATCATAATTTTTATCCATGGTTCAGTGTCTGTTTCGTGTTATCTAAATCTTACTTGCGAATATTGCACTAAAACACTTTAAGCTGTTTAAAGTCAAAAGAAATGAGTGCATGTTTCGTCATACTGCAGTAGATAAGAAGAAACATCGGGCATCTGTAATTCCATGCGGCAAGAGTACGTGAGACGGAGTTTTAGAACGCGTACACAACATTAACAGTCTCATGTTTGATTTCGAAGAATTTGAATCAATTAAGAAACTCGTCTTAACAAATGAAGCAGGCTTTCAACTATCTTCTGGATTACAATTCACATAGAATTTGAGTTTGTTGGATAATCGAAGCTATGAAATAATGTCGCATTTTTTCGCTTAACAAAATCTTTAATCGGGCACTTTGTGACAAGTGTCGCAATGTGAAGAAAGTGCTTCAAAAAATAGCTCATTTCGATTGAAATGAAGTATGTAGCGTGTTTCAGGGTTTGCATAGACATGAGTCAAGAAAACTGAGACGTAAACCCTTATTAAACGTAAGTTAGTTCTCTCAGCATATCTTTCCCTCTAGAGATAAAGCAATGCAATATGCACCCGCTTTGCAAAGCCGCACAACCAAATGTTCGATAACACTGTATTGAACCAATGATATCAGTACATGACATCGCAATTTCGGTATTATTTACTTCTGTTTTAAGGTTAAAATATGGACCTTAGAACGCTCTCGTTAGTTTTTCAACTCCTTGATTTCCAAATCCTATGTCCGCCAATTCTTCTCAATTAATGCTTTGCTAAATCCTTGCCATATTTTAAGTCTTCCTTTGAGAACATTCATTATTCAAGTTTTGCATACTTCAATTACCGCAATACTTATCAACGTGTTGTTAACAAAGCTGGACAATTACTATTTTCCCCTAAAAAATTATCCTTGACCGTTATACTTGGTAGTTATTTGCAGCAGGAGCTTTTTCTTTGTCACTCGTTTTATCAATTCCGTTTCTTAACTTCCACTTCGTATTTATTCCTTTTTCCGGTTGTTTTATCTCTCATATTCACTTTTGAATTAAATTCTTCTCACGATGAGTAGCTTGGACATCTACAACTCACTCACAAGATCAACCACGCTTACAAGAACTTACAGCATCTCTTTGGACTCTAATGCATTCAAACCAGTCTACAGGGAATGTTTAGATGATGCCGAAGATTTGGCCAAGCTTGGTTATACGCAAGCCTTTGATCGTGGGCTATCACTCTTCAGCGTATTTAGTGTTTCTTTTTCTGTACTCGGATTGCTTCCGTCTGTGGCAGCGACAATGTGCTTTACAATGCTTGCAGGCACCCCTGGAATGGTCTGGGGTTGGCTTCTAGCAATGGTGTTTGTTGATTGTTTAGCGGCAGCATTGGCAGAGTTATGCTCCAGCATGCCCACTTCAGGTGGTTTATACTACTCTGCGTCTGTACTGGCGCCAAAAGGGTGGGGTCCCTTAGCTTCCTGGATTACAGGTTGGTCTAATTATCTCGGGCAGCTTATCGGTTTCCCAAGTTGTGTATATAGTCTCTCATCTATGACATTGTCAGCTATTCGTATCAGTCAGGAGGACTACAAAGTGAAACCCTATCAACTTTATTTTTTGTGTGTTGCCTTCATATTGGTTTTTGCAATAATGGCATCACTTCCCACAAAGGTTATAGGTCGTATAAATTCTTTTGGAACACTGTTGAACACCGTTTTTCTGTTCGTTTCAATGCTCGTCATATTGATTGAAGCTGGATCGCGAAATGGCTTCAATAAATCGAGCGACGTTTGGACAAAATTCAATAATGTAACATCGTGGCCTGATTGGTTTGCAGTATTTATGTCCTTCTGCGGTGTCATTTGGATTATGGCTGGGTTCGATACTTCATTTCATCTTAGTGAAGAGTGCGCCAATGCAAGCATGAACGCCCCAAATGGCATTTTCTTGACTTCTACTATTGGAGGTCTAGTTGGTTGGCTTTTCCAGCTAGTTATAGCTTATACAATTGTGGATATAAATGCTGTTGTGACTTCAGATAACTTATGGGTTGCTTATTTGACACAGGTATTAAGCAAAAAAACGGCCATGTTTATTGTTTCGTTGACAATTGTTTCCAACTTTATTATGGCACAAGGTGTATTAATTGCTTCCTCTCGTATTGCTTATTCATATGCTCGTGATGAAGTGCTACCATGTTCCAAGTGGATGGCTCAAGTCCACAAACGAACAATGACGCCGGTACACACAGTCATTGTGAACGGAACCATTGCGATCGTTGTCCTTTTATTAATATTTGCAGGATCAATAACCGTTAACGCAGTTTTCTCAGTTACTGCTATTGCGGCGTTCACAGCTTTTACGGTTCCTATCTTTCTTCGTGCCTTTATTGTGTCAGATAAAGATTTTAGACGCGGCCCTTGGAACCTTGGTCGGTTCTCCCGACCAATATGTGCTATCGCTACTATATTTGTGATTATTATGATTCCCATATTATGCTTCCCAAATTCTTCACGACCTAGTATGCAGCAAATGAACTGGACCTGTCTTGTATTCGGACTCCCAATGGGTGCTGTGGTTCTGTGGTATGCAATATCTGCAAAACATTGGTTCATTGGTCCCAAAACAAATATTGCTGTTGTGGGGCTTGCTGGTATGTCTGTTCTTGAAAAAGGATTGCGCAGTCATTTGATTCTGACAGATATATAAAGGAAAAAAGCAGCTACTGAAAACTCCAGAGAACAGCAAGCCTTTAAGCTTCTCTTATACAGGTTCAGTTTAAAGTTGTTAAATGCGGGTTCTTATCATTATTGTATTCTGGTTTAGTATCATTAGACAAGACTGCACGTTAAAAGATGTGTGTAAATATAGAATTTTTAGTCAAACTCTACTGAAGACTACAATAAAAACGGATTATCAGTAGTACTTTTCTCGCTTTAAACAATAACAATGAGTTAAGTTTCAGAGTTTCGAAATACAACAACGTACTGTGCAACTGTAAGTCCTTGTTCCCATCACTCTAACCCCTATTCGCAGGTTGTAAACCAAGTATCGCAGAGTGCATCATTTAGTCGGCTTTTGCGAATAAAAGCCGATTTTAGCGCAATCACTCCAATTCTCGCGAAGTAAACTGATAACGCATGAGCGATTGCAAAGGCAACAAAAAGAATACTCGTTCTTATATTCTTTTCCATAGACTCGGTTGTTTTGGTCCTTAAAAATGTTACATTGAGATTACCAAAAACAAACATGTCATTTATGTACCAGAACTCAACTTCTAAGTATGGGAACACTTTAACTCTTTTATGTTTGTTTTAATAATTCGTGATTGATATTGTATGGTAGGGGAGCTCTTTAAATATGCTGTCGCAAATAATAATTGAATTACAACAAGACATTAGCTAGCTAGGTAGTTCACCTTGACAGTATTTTTTTAGTAGATAAATCAAGCTTTCAATTCTTCAGATTGTTGAGTTAAGTAAAAGGTATACTTAACGAACATGATAGTCAAACAAAATATTAACATTTTTCGTAGAAGAGGTATTGTTTTATGTCTCAGAACGAACAACTCTTCAGTCGGGTATAACTCTAGGTACGCATTTTTTGGAGTTTGTTGGTTCTAACCTTATTACTATGTTTTAAAAAGTACATATCGCAGCATACACATTAACTGCGTAGATAATAATTCTCAAAAGATAATTGTTTACAGAATTACCGAATTTCGATCATCAACAGACTCAAAGACGTGATTTTAATTTATAAAATGAGTCAAGTGAAAATCTATTATGATATATACACAATTAAATTTTCACCATTGCTTGATAACCATTAGCGAAGGTTGGTTCGAGTACAGCTTTCTGCTTGTACAGTTTGTGTCGCAAGAAGAAAATTACACAACAAAAATGAATAATCCGTTAACGCAACATTAAAGCATTAGATTTTAGTATTTGAACTTGTTTTTGTTGCACGTAACCCAAATATACATTCACAACCATTCACAGAGTATCCCTATATTTCAAAAGAATCCGATAACTGGGGTATAGCAAATCTTCTTGTAAGCCTGTCTACTAAAGAACACGTAGGTCAATAATGTTCATTGAAATACCATTACGTTACGTTATATAGATTCGCTAAGTACTTGTACTTCATGAAGTTACCTTCAAATTTTATCTCTATTCATTCAATTGAAGTCATTTAACACATCATAATATTAAAGAACATCAAACACAATGTTGAGTAGGTTATCGCGGTTTCAAAGAAATAAAGAGAAAGAATCCTCTTCAGTTTTAGCTGGTTTAATCAGTGACAAATTAGTTCATCCCTCTTATTCAAATTTCCACCGGAATACTACATCACGACACCGAGACATGTTTACTAGTAGTGAAGATTTTCACTGCCAACGCATAAATTCAACTTGCCATAATACTGGTCTTTCAGGGTAATATTACTGCTAGCTGTGGTACATTTTTGCAACGTTAGCGAACCCAGACTCTACAGAACTAATTTCTTTAATGCATTACCTTAAGCGCAGAAAAGCTCCATTATGTCATTAAATAAATCGTAGCGAACAACATTATACTTTTTAGAGTTCATAGGCGCGTAGGCTTACATGATTGAACAGCAAGGACCGCATCTGGTGCCACAACGGCCTCCCTTTAGCTATTCATAATCATAACTGGCGTTGAATACGATTGCAGGAACTTCTAGTACTGTTGTCACGATATTTGCTCTGAACAATTTCATAGCTCTCCCAATTTTGTGTGTTATCATTATCAACTAAAAATACTTATACGAATAGACATGCAGCAAACTCGTTGGCACTTTTCATAAAAAGCGACATCTTTAAAGTAATTGAATTGTACGTGATGCAACAGAATTCATATATAACCACAATTCAAAACCTATGAAAGCCAAAGATGTTCAAAATTATTGCTTTAGCTAATTCTTAAGTTGCAACTTATCCGTAAGATATTCATATACGCGCTAGTTACTACCATTCATCTACTATTTCATTCAAACAATAACGACCCGTACCATATCAAAGCCTTTCAACTCCATTAAATGCATGCTACAATACTCATGAAACCCACGTGCTTCCGTAACAGACTGAGCTCCGTTCTTAGTCTTTAAAAATCTATGAACATGGAAAACAATAAAAATCATTTCGGAGACCGTGGACGGATATTCATCCCCGATTCATTACTTCGAGCTATTGTATTTTTTTCATTATTTCAATGAACGCCTCATACGGCCACGCATGAGTGACATACTGTTTGCAGACCTCTGTTCCATTCAGTTGTCATGCAAGATATATCTCAAAACACTCCATTTTGCAGTCAAAAACTTACTACTAACCCTGCCAACCCTGTGTATCAGACGAACCTACCAAATCGGCAAAATTAGTTATAAGGGGGACGTCATAACTCGAATTCGGTGGTACAGTCTGTGATATGCCTGCTTTGAGGAAAAAAGTGCGACGTCGACGTAAAAAAATATCATGTCTTAATTGTCGGCAAAAAAAGCTAAAGTGTGATAAATGTCTTCCGTGTTCACGATGTAAGGAAAGAGAACTTGAGGCAAGTTGTGTTTATGAGAATAATTACGAGGCACCCTACTCGAAAGATGATGTTTCATTCATGTGGAATGCAAACCAGCATATTAATGATGGTTTTAATTCAAACGACGATGAGAAGTTTCATTTTTATCGTCCACTTGTCTTGTTCAATATGATCCAGAAATGCGCTCGTGCGAGAGGTATTCCTGTTGAGACACTTTTTTCGTCGATTACCATTTCTGGTATAGAAGATGCAGCATCTTACCTTAAAGTTCTTCCCCCGTTACACATAGCGGACTTGATGGTGGATCTGTACATTGAGCGATTTGACTCTGTTTTCCCAATTATTGAAAGAGACAGTGTTAAAGACACTGTACGTTGCTTGTATAATAGTCCCCCTATATTTCCTGTCGTAGGGCGGCTGGAGCTTTTATTCGTAGTACTATGGGCCTCACTTAAAGTTGAAAAGCTCCCGTCTTCGTTACTAGAGTACCTTGAGCAGACGGGTGATTCAGTTACAGGTTTAGCTGAACGTTTCAGGCAAAAAATTGACATTCTGGATAATCTTCGGACCAATTTGCGTCATTTGGCTGATATTAATTTTTTTGAAACACTTTCAGTTCAAGCGTATTTATCGTTCCTCTTTAATTCACCCCATGATGTGAATAAAAAGCTTTGTACTGCTATTTATTATGGAAGGTCGATAACAGCTCATCAGAAAATTGAAGATGATATTAATTTGATGAAAAAATATAACAAACTATGGTTTGTCGTAACCCAAATCGATGCCATGTCATCCATTTTCTTTAATTTCCCTCCGTGGATCCAGTTTGAGGTGGATGGTAGTTTCATACGTAATAGAGAGGACACAAGCGATGAGAACGAGTACTATTCACAAAAGCTCTTTGGTCAAATACTAAAAGTAGGTCTTCAAATGTGGAAAGACCAGCATCTTTCTTCTGTCAAAAACTTCACTAAAAAGCTAGAGGATTACAACGTTCTACTCTCACAACTAAGTCTTCAAGTAATGAACTGCTTAGACATGGCAGGGGATGCAGCTGAAACATTTCGATTTAACTTATTTAAGGCTCTGTTATTGAAGATCAGGACAACTTTATACTTGTATTACCCATATGCTGATTCGGTGGAATCAGGTTGTTATGACAGTCAAATAAAAGTGTTGGGTAGTCTATGTTTGAAAAAGACTGCACATCTCATTTCAATGTTCAATGAATCAAAATCCTTTGGCTGGAGAAAAATCTTGACCATCTTTTCATTGGAAGGACTTGCTTATATACCATTTTGTGCATTGCGCAATATTCATTATGGAACGGAACCGCTTGACTATGCGGCATTTTTGTTGGACGACAGCTATATACGTACTGATCCCAAGAGGTGTGAAGTTCTTAAATCTTTTCAACGTTTCATACTACTATTCTCGGAAATAAAAGAGGACGACAATTCAAAGAAAGCACTTATTCCATTAACTGCTGATCCGTTGTTTGCATGGAATTTTTTGGATTCTTGGTTGTTATGAGACGAACTAATGCGAACGAGGTATTCGTTTTCTCGTTCAAAACTTATTACTAGTCAGTGGTGTGGATATTTTTCTGTAATGTTTTACACATTTCGCTTTATACCATTGGTCACTGTCGTCTCCTCCTTTTGTTAAACCACCTCCTTTATGAATGAATATGTACATTGTTATGTAGTCAACTTTTGGATTTTCTGTACAAACTTGTTTTATTATATGAATCTCTTCTCTTTCTTCTCTTTAAAAAAGTTTAGGTATTAAAGGTTACGTTTTTATTTCGTAGTCGACTCACTACTCGTTTTCTGTAATTAAGCGGCAAGGCATCTGGCTTTTATAGATGGTACTCTTTTTTGAGGGCGGTAGCGCATAGAAGGTTGAAACGTTGCACTTTGAAAGAATGGCAGAAAAAATAGTAAGAGAAAGCCTGAGCCTATTTCATTGTTATCTTGACAACTGCAATTAAGCAATTATACTGAGACTATGTTATTATAGAAATAATGCTGTATTTCAACCGCTAAATTGTGAGTGATAAACAGCTTCATTTTCGCATCTCACCAATTGTCGTACTCACCACATATTTGGATATCTCCAGTGGGTGGGATGGTACTTTGCGCCTTTATTTGGAAGGACATCAATAACGCAGTTGGTGTAAGTAGTAGAACTCGCAATGGTAGCAATCATTATAAAAATGAAAGTTGGGGTTAGTTAATTGTTACGCTTTTATTGCAATCCACTTCAAAGCAACGAACAGAGGGTTTTTAACTGTAATTAATAAAACTCAATAAAAGCACCCTTACTTTCCTTGTCTGCATCAAAGCCAATTCCCCCTTTATTTGCTCTATATTCATATGTACATTGTACTTCTTATTAATACAGTAATTACATTCGCACATCGACCATGAAGCGCTATTCACAAAGTCTAGTCCGTGGGATGTTTTTCATCCTGCTTTTGCTTTCTTTACTCATAAACAATGCAATTGATTCTATATTTAATTCAGAGTGATTTTCGACATTTGAATACCCATCTTTGAGGGATGTGCAATTTTGCTGAAAAAGAAATAACTGCAAACTAAAAATTAAAAACAATGTTTATTGTTGAACTGCCTTATGTAACATAGACTCCCACTGCTAGAACTGTTTTGACTTACTTTGTTCTTTTCAATGAACACCAACTTTTCCATGTATAAATCTCAAAAGTTTAGTAATTAAGAACTAAGGGTATCATAAAAGCAGACAAAACTTTCTCGGTTATGCACTAAAATTATAAGCTGATAATTTGAATTATTTACATTATAAGCAATAAAAGACGTGTCATGAAACTACCAAGTCAAGGTCCAATTTTCGTTAAATGCACCTTGGGAAGTCAGGTTGGCAAGATTTGTGATAACAAGCTCTTGCTTGTCGTTATTATACTCATAAGAGGAAATGTTCTGTCCCTTGAAAAAGACGGACTGAGGAGCAGAAGAAACCCCAAGAACAGTAACATTGGCAAGGGGTTGTTCAACAGCATAGGTGCCGCTGACATACGTTGAGAGGGTATTGTTGAGAGCACTGAACGACACACTAAGAGTAGCATTAGGAGTGATTGAAACGCCATCGTCAGCATACAAGAAACCATCGGCATTGCCATTGGGGTTGAGGGCAACAAGAAGAGCCCAAGGATTGTTACGAGTTTCGTATGTAGTCAAAGCAGGCTCTTGAAGAGGGATGACATTTCCGCCACGAACGTGGACATTGATATGCTCCAAGGGCGCATCAAGGGTGACATTTGGTTGTATTGACGGTTGACAGCCTCGTGTGTATACCAGTCGTACCAGGCGGTAGAGTTGTCGCCAGGGAAGACGCCGTCAACAGTAGTCGTGTTAGGCTCCAAGACAGGAGTAACGAGGAAGGCATCACCGACCATAAATTGACGAGAAGCATCAGCAAGAGAAGGTTCTTCGGGGAACTCAAAGAACATAGGACGGAAAACAGGAGTTCCTTGAGCGTGCGCCTGGTAAAGTAAAGTATACCAATAAGGAAGCATAGCATAACGAATCTTCATAGCACGGCGAGAGGCTTCTGCAACGGAAGACCAGATGTAGGGCTCTTGACTAATAGCACCAAGAGTGTTATGACTGCGATAGAAAGGTAAGAAAGCACCCATTGCCATCCAACGAGAGCACAATTCATAGTTGCTGTTACCCATGAAACCACAGACATCAGCACCAACCATGGGAATACCGAGCATGTTGAAAATCATCGCTCCCGGGATGGAGAAAAACATGTTAGACCACTTAGAATGGTTGTCACCAAGCCAATGTGCACCGTAAACACCGGAACCAGGGAACGTAGAACGAGGGACTACGAAAGGGCGGACATTGGGAGCCAATTCAAGTAATGCACGATACGTAGCCTTCGTTTCGCCGTAACCATACATGTTGAAAATATCGTAACGGGCAGTTCCATCATAGGAGGTAGCGTTCACACCCACGATATGATTAGAAATGTCGTGATTTCCTTGCTCATTGTTGATAGCGTAGGGAGGGTAATTGATGTTGCGGTCCTCATTCTTCTTTGCCTTGGTAGAGGGGGACGCAGTTGGGATAATAACGGCGGTGCTTGTAGCGGCGTCTTGCAATCTTTGGCCTTGCATAGCAACTTGGTACTCTGAAGCATTTGTGTACTCTGTACCCTCGGGATAATCAAAGATATAGTTATACATCTCACCGGAAAAGGCAGTTTGTGTACGTATAGGATTTTGATCGAGCTTTCCCGTACCACAAGAGCCGACACAGTAGGATGATACTTCGTTCATGTCGAGCCAAAGACCATCAAAGGCGAGGCCTTCATCTGTCATTTGGAGAGACCAATTGTACAAGCAATTCTTCCAGTACTCAGTAGAATTGGGATTAATAAAATCAGCGAAAACAGTATAACCGGGCCAAACCGCACCAATGTATAAAGAACCGTCAGGATTTTTAAGGAAGATGTCCTTTTCAACACCTTCGTAGAATGGATAATAAGTATCGTCAGACTTGTTGGAAGGGTTTGCGGCGTAAACAGCAGCATCAACAATAGGAACGTAGTGCTTATGATTTTTTGAAAGATTACCAAGGAAAGGGCGGAATTGTTCAGCTGGATAGGAGACAGGATCAAGAGTGAAATCGCGCCATTCGTACATATAGTCGATATCACCCCAAATGGTGTCAAGAGGAATGTTTGCCTTTTCAAAGTTTTCAACAACTTCTTCAAGCTTAGAAAGGCTTTCGTATCCCCAGCGACATTGATGATAACCAAGTGTCCAATACTGTTGCATAGCAGGTAGACCAACGGCATTTACGTAAGAAGAAATTGTATTTTTAGGACCCTCCGAACCACCGGCAAAGATGTATAAATCAACAACTCCACCGATGACACGGTATTGGAGATAGTTTTCACGAAGAAGAATATCCATGCCAGTTGACGAAAGCAAGAGGACACCATGGGAAGAAGCCTTACCAGAGTTTGTCTGGTTCGCATAGCGGTGCTCAAGGTAGAATGGGTGATTTCCATACATATTACGATCCAATGGAGTAGGTTCATCATTTGCCCAAAGAGTTCTTGTGATATTGTTACCAAGACGAAGACCGTGTATTGTTTCGGCGAGACCGTAAATGTTGTAGTTTTGAACCATGTTTGTAGTCAATTCGATGTATTGATCCTCAAAGATGAGTTTTTGACCACGAGTATCAAACAACGTATCATTGTCCGAAGTACGGGTAACCCAAAACTCGAACGGATCCTCATTGTAGTGGAATTCATATTTGCGATCCTTAGGGAAAGAAGCGTCATGATAAAGAGGAGCATCCCAAATATCTTTGCGCTCACTAAAGCGAAATTGTTTTCCGTCCGTGTCGTAAATACCAACATGGATTCTGTCCTCAGTCTCGTAGCTAACATTTAGCTGTAAATATTTGTAATCCGTGCCGTAAGCATAACATGCTTCACCGCGCAATTGAAGTGTAGCTTGCACACCATTGGAGCTTTCGGAAACATTTAAAACCTTGTAGCCTGTACAGGTGTCGCCAAGGTATGTCAAGTTAAAAGAAGGAGCGACAGCATGGCCGACATCCAACTCAGGGTCCAAAGTGGGCCATGTACGCCAGCTCGTTGAAGTCGAGGTTCCTTCTTCATACAAGCTGTATGCGTCCGACGCAAATGCAGCGCTTGTTGTTGTTGTATCTGCATCAGTAGTAGTAGAAGTCGATGCAGGTAAGGCTGTTGAAAGTTTTCCAAAATATAAACAGCCAGCAGCAAGGAAGCTGCTGATAAGCTGTAGTGTTTTCATTGTGCAAGTGTGTTAATTCTCTGGAGAAATGCGGTGTTCAATGCTAATATTTATATGATTTTCTGTTAATTGTCGGCTACAACTCGCACCGTCGGCAAACCCCGGATTTCCTGCAGACTCGTCGCTCCGCATTTCGTTTGTGCGACATCTTTTTTGGTAATAGTCTTCCTTTCATCACCCCAATAGCCAATTAAACTCTGTTTAATGAAAGTCTGACCGTTATATCTTTACATTCATTGGATGATGTATGCTATAGTTATTCGGCTTTTACCGATGTATGCCCACTCCACACAGTTCTCGACCAATTATTGCTACTTTACTAATTTTCGAGCGGGGCTCCGCAGTCGGCTTAAGAAAACAGGGTACAGTAAAGGGTTCCAACCATCGAGTTTTTCGAGTAGTTTACCCGCGGGTTTGACAATTGTGATGTTACGTCATAGATTAATCACCTTGTCTTACAAAAGAAGCATGTTATATAGATCGGCTTCGTAGATGTGGAAAATTCGGTAATTAGTCTAATGTAGTTCAAGCTAAACCTCGATCTGCACAACAATCCATACAAAGAATATACTGTATATTGTTCTGGTAACTAAATACTGAGAAGCTAAGTTAACATGAATGCTACTGAAAACTATTTCGCATTATTGCTTTTAATGCGAAAGCGACACCAATTATTAAAGTGTTCTCGTGATATGACGTTAACGTGGCATCGTCTAATTGGGAAATGTTTTTGAGTTTGCTTGCATAATGTGCGCTTAATGTTTGAAACGAACGAATTGTTAATTAACTCATGCTTTCTGCTCAGCATTACTACTTTATGGGTACATAAAGCACTTGCGCTTGCTACAATTACGATTTTTTGAGCTGATTTTACGACCGTATTTTGATGTTCTCTCTTCGCGTCTGATCCGGAAAGTTACAATGCCGAAAATTTGAATCCCGGCTTACCTTGCATGATCACAATATCGTGATTTGCTACTGGATCCTAGTTGTTTGTTATGCAGTTAATTACGAGAAGGGAAGCTATGCAATTCATTCCGATCACTCACTCACATCTGCTTTTAGTTAAATGATGTGACTGTATGCTCATTTAATACGGGCGCTTTGATCTTATTATTCAAGATGGTTTTTCTGCGTGATTTGACGAAACACTAAAATTCGCCAGCTACAACGTGCTTCCAGATCCACTTTCACTTCTTCGACAGAAATGAATTTTAAATATTTCAATAGTATTGCAAATATGTGTTAAGAGTTATCACAATTGTTACTGCTTTGCTGTATGACTTAAATACATTTATATCATAATTAACTCGCAGAAAAAACTTCACTTAACAGTTATAAGTATTGACTAACACTATGTAAGCTGGAAATTGGTTTTAAACTCACTAATCAAAGATGTATAGAAGTGTGTTTTGTTGTTCAGCATGGAAAATCAACAAGGTAACCGTCAGCTTGTTTGTTTTTTGCGTAGTTTGAAGACATAACTTGCGACGTAACATTACATTTGTTTCTCCTCTTAAAGTTCGTAACTAACACAGAGAATTTTAATATCACTATCGAGCGTAGCATTTAAATTGTATTGTCAAAACCATTTTTTTGGCGTCCCTTTTAAATAAATGCGACACTTCTGCATGAAAAAATATACTTTCGGCTGTTAGAGCAGGCGAACAATATAGTTTTGAAGTTACGCCTACAAAAAGCAATCAACGATTAAGCAGACGATCGTATGGAGCATATGTTGGTTTCGCATTATAAAAGTTCACGGATGCATAAGTTTAGTTAAGTAATAAGTGTTTTTCTGCACATTCACCAATCTTTTACAATAAAACAAAATGCAATATAAATATGCTGAAGAAATAAAAATACAAAGATGTAGTGCGATGAATGTGTCTTTCGCTAAAACTAGTTCACATATGATAGAACCCGAAAGACTTGCTTCAATAATTGTGATTTTTGACGAATAAAATACTCGCACTTCTCTCAAACAATCTTTCAGTGTTCGCTCCCTGGTCAATCACTATCGGCAGTCTTTTCAGTCTTTTCAGCTGCTGATAAAGTTTCGGCCAACTTTTGGTCCCCAAGGTCGTTAATACGGTATACGGCCTCGTCATCGTCGCCGCGAACAATCGTCCACACAGAAGGGATCAACATAACGGCTGTAAGGAACATTCGAAAATGCCTAGGTATGCTTCAGTCTTGATAATCTTTCCACTCCAACCTTGAGCAAGTTCGACAACACGGTAAATTGAACGAATAATAACAAGAATTGATGCAATCCAAAGAGCATGTGCAGATATAGTACGTCTCTTGGACTCCGTTAAATGCAATTTTGGATTCTCCAGGTTATCAGCATCATCAGTTCTGTATGGCTTGTCATGACGATAGCGGTACCAAAAATCGACACCGCTGGCAGTGAAAGCAAGCACCATTACAAGCTGGAAACAGATACCAACGAGCATAATATCCGAGCCAATTCTCTCCAGATGAGCATTACCATTAGCTCCGCCGGCCATTCCGCCGCCGGCAAACTGGATAATCATGGAAATAACGTCGTTAATGATGAAAACAAGTCCATAGAGTCTTGGGCGAAGAAACGCATACTTGGGGCCATATTGTATAATTAAATGTTTCAAGGTGATGTACATCTGAGCAGTATAGAAGACGGGAAACGCCATAATAGTGACATACTGAATACTGTATGAAGTAATTGTTGTGCTTGTAATGTGTGAAGCAGAGTACATTCGAGCAATCCAGCCAATAACCTCACCAAGCGATCCGATGAATGAAAGCACAGGAATACCGCTTCGATATTGAACAATCTGAATCAAATTGACAACTGTACAAACACCGAAACAAATTATTGCAAGAATATTCAGCCACTTCGTAGGAGTGTAACCGTAAAGATAAAGCAAATCCATCTTTAGTTAGAGTATAGGAGGAGACTTTGTAAAAAACCTACTAATAGTTCAGATGCAGACAGAAGGAGAAACAAGTTTTAAAGAAGCGCCAAACCAGATCAATGATTAGTCTGTCTTAGCAATGAGCGATGCACTACTTTCTTGAAATACTAAGTGCAATTGATGAAGACGGGGTTTTGACAAAAACAGCAATAGCGACCGACTTATGTGCTACCAATTGCCTACTGTTTTAGGCAAGAAAACAGAATTTAAGGATGGTGATTATCGCGAACAGCTGAGCTATTGGATATTCTTCAAAGAGTAAACGAATATTCTTTCGTGATGAAAACAATTGCTAGGACAATAAAGCAAAACGGCGCTTTATTTTCCTCAGGCTTGCTTGTTGTAGCATTGCAAAGCTCTCTATTTATTCATTCTTACTCTTCGCATATTCCTTCTCAATTATTTGCATTCCGCGGCTTCAGCCCACCAAATGTGTCTGAGCCCGCGGATACAGAGCTATACCCGAGGAAATATTAAGTTTAACTTCACACGCAGAAGTATTTTCGCGGGGCGTCTTGCAGTTCAGGGGTCAATAGCGAATTGTGCTCTTGCACCAAACTCTGACAGCCAATGAAAATTACTACCGAACTACTGTTGGGATCGCATGCTACACTAAGTAAGATTGACCTTTCCTCGGTATTCATAGTCTCTCGGCTATAAAAGTTTAACAGCAAAAATGATATCAAGGATAAGCATAATACTCTATATAAAGAAGTAGTATTTTGTGTAATTCCTTCAGAAAATGAACATAACATACTATCTTGATGGTAAAATAATTATACAAAAAATCGGGAAATTGTGTTCCAGGTACGTAAAGGACAATTGTGTAAATGATTATATTACAGCCGCAATCAGTGCGATGATTGTCATTTTCTAGCGACCATGTGCGAAAAGCCATTTGCGACAACAAAATGGCACTTTCAACAGTAGCATTAGCGTGATCTTAAAGAGTACATACAATGAGTTACTGAAGAAGACATTAATGCGAGCTTAAGTTATAAAAAATAAATTCACCAAATGACTGGTTTAAAACAGCTTGGGGATAATAATATTTCTATTATGTCACTGGCCCTTGAAAAAGCGCTATTCTGGTGAAAACGAGAGGTTAAATCAGTACTAATTATCAAATAAATGGTTTTGTTTGATGGATGTCATGAAAACGGAAGCTTGCTGTTCTTAAATTAGTGCTCCGGTTATTATCAATGCCACTTATACTGTTTGCTATTGTATGCTGGCAAAGGTCAACTTCGCCGTACTGTTACTATCAGCTTTATATACTATAGTGCGCCAACAACTTTAAGCAATTTCATGATAAACAAAAAAAAGCGAAAAAACAATAAAGCTTAGTGCGTGCAAAGTGTAATATTTAATATAAGATTATCAGAAAATTAAAAATATCAAACGGTCTTATTAATTGTTAACTGAAATTAACAGAAGTAATAGTTGCTCCTGTTGTTTAATTTCACGATACTGTTTGTGTCATTTGAAGTTACGGGTTTAATAATTAATAAATAATTAGAGTTATTCTAATCCTGTATGACGACAATTTACCATTTTTCGTATGTAATGAGTAACCACGGGGAATTTTTATACTAAAAGAAAACAAAATGGTGCTTTTTGGTTTTTGCAGCACTTGAATTGGACCAACAAAATTACTCCAAATCCTGGTATCCAACAGTAACAACGTTAAGCGAGATAGCGACATTTTTGTGCTAAAATGGCTGATTTGTCAATGCAAATCATGGCGTAGCACTTCGCCACACTATCTCGCAGGGTATAGCAGCCACGCACTCCAACGACAGCTTTAACAGTTCATTACGTATCTCAGGCATACGGAATTTGTAGCATACTAAGCATTGAAAATTATATGCTTTAGGGCCATTTCGTTAGAACTATGAAACGTCAAATTACAGATCATTTAAAGAAGAGCTACTGCTAGTCAATCAGCGTGTTTTATTTATTGCCCCCTTAGGGTATTTACGCAAAGAACCATTTTAAGTAATGTTGCGCCCACCAACTTCAGTTAGTGGTTCCAGCCTATTAAGTTCTGGTCGTAGTTTTCTGAACCCAATTTCCGCGACAAGATTTATGTTCTCAAGGATGTGATAACATAAGATTTATCTCGAAGGTTTATTTTTGACTCATATTTCTTTGATACTTACGGTTTCTCCTAATGTTGGAGGCTATGCATTTAAAAAAAGAGAGTTAAGGAGAATTATAACCAGGACTTAGACTAATTAGCGAGTGGCTCCAAGTTTTTCCAGTAACAATGATAGTATTTTTATAATTTTTTTTATGTTTTAAAAATAGTAACAAGTACTATGTTAATATGCATGTATATTTATTCCTATAATATATTTAACTGTAACTCTTTAGACTTTTAAAGGTGTTTATCTGAATTTAAAATACCAATACTAAAATCGCTTCAGCTCCGGCAGGCTTAAAGGGCATTAAAATCTTTTTAATAACGTATTCAAATATTTAATTGATGATATGGGCAATTATTTTTAATATCAGTCTTGTTCCCGAAGTGAATGTTCTCGATAAAACTAAATTTCCAAGTGTTTGCCTACTTTCATACATCATTGGATACTATTCGCAACTCTGTCGGCTTACATCTTTCATGAGGGTTACAAAACGGGTTCTCACAGGGACGCCATATTTACTAACTGTGTAGCGTAATACTGTCATGATGTCAAATTAAAGTGTAATTTTAAGGCGTATTTATGATAAGTTATTCTATTAAATGATCATGCTTACCCTTTTTTGTGCTTTCTCGCAATATTACGTCTACCAATCACTTCTATTATAAGCAGGCGCCATTTTATGATTACCTTAGAATGCCAATTTTTTGAAGTCATTAGCAATAGTACAGGGCCTTATGTTCGATTTATTCGCAAATTAATGGATTTTCTCTTGCAATAAAATTTGTCGAGTCAAGAAACTCTATACCGAATAAAGTAACCGTGCTCGAACGTTATTTGTTTAGCCCCCGAAGGTACAGATGTGAGTGCAGTTTATTGAAAATGACGATTTGATTCTATAGTTATTATTACAAACCCCCCCTTTTTTTTTAAGTAAAATTAGTTTACATAGTTCACACTTCAATTCAATTTACTAGAAATGTTAGACGGATAACCGGGCGGGTATAAACTCCAAGAAGTAAGTCGATTAATGAACCGAGAATTTGTTACAAACATTCGGCGTTCGTTCGATTGTGGAGGCCCAACTCTTCAACTCACTAAGTAAACAACGAAGAGCCAAAAACAAGAATAAAAAAAAATCATCAATAAACTTGCGTATACTATCACTATCACATATCTACACAGGGACATAAATAAGAGGTAAACTGCATAGCCATTGTACGTAAATATTCCCTCAGTGCTTAGTAGCTATTCATCGTAGAATGGCTGGAATCTCGATGATGTACCGCATCATTTTTTAAACTTGACATGCGCGGAATGTCCAATCCAGGCATATCCGCTTTTGGTCCTTTGTACCAATGCTTCGCTCCCAAAGCAAACCACAGAAGGACTGCTGCCATTGGCACGCTATACCCAAGACAGGCCCAATTCATATCAATAGCGCTAGGATGTATCATAGTCGGAAAACACAATATCGGAATCAAAATAATCACAAAGACGGTACCCGCTCCACCAACCAGCTTTGAATATCGACCCAAATGCCACGCCCCACGAGAAAACTTACTGTTCTTCACGACGAATGAGCGAAGGCCAATTGGAATGATAAACGCGACAAATGCTGCGATACCACAAACAGAATAAATGGCGTCCGTGGCATATTGACCTTTAAAAATAAGCAAAAGAATAAGTGCTGCAAGGGAGCAATTCAAAAGTACGGCATTAACGGGTGTAGTGGTTCGCTTGTTTATTCGTGCGATCCACTTTGAGAAAGGAAGAACACCATCACGAGCATACGAATACGCAGTCCGAGATGATGTAATTAATACACCCTGGGCCATAAGAAAATTTGAAAATACGGTAAGCGCGATGACTGCCTTAGCGCCATTATGGCTAAGAACCTGTATCAAATATGCAACCCACAAATTGTGCGCCTCGACAACGGCAGTATAATCATCAATTGTATACGCAATTACCAGATGTATAATCCAGCCAGAAAATCCGCCAACTAAAGCAGTAAGCATGATACCGTTGGGCGCATTCACAGAGGCGCTGGCACATTCCTCAACAAGATGATAAGAAGTATCCAATCCGACCATAGACCAGAGAACACCACAGAACGACATAAGCATAGCAAATCCTATAGGCCAATCAGTCTGATTTTGGAAGTGACTCCATACTCCCATATTAGTATTGAAACCATCACGCATGGAAACACTAACCAGGATAATAATGATAGCAGCGAGAAGGGAAAGTATATTCAAAAACGTGAAAACAGAATTAATTTTTCCCATTATCCAAGTGGGTAATGAAGCCATGATAGAAAGCACCACGATGAAAGAAAGGCAAAGGAAATATATATGGTAATGTTTAATCACAAAATCTTTGCCATCGAACTCATCGGCAGCATAGATTAGTAAGTTGGATAAACTGTAGATACAGCTGCTTAGAAAACAAAGTTGAGCTATATAATTGGACCAACCAGTAACCCAAGAAGCCAAAGGACCCCACCCTTTGGGCGCAAGCACTTTGGCCGAATAGTATAATCCTCCGGATGTTGGCATACTAGAACACAATTCGGCCATGCTTGCAGCGACACATAAGACAAACACCAAAGCAATGAGCCAACCCCATAACATTCCTGGTGTACCGGCCAGCATAGAAAAGTTAAGCGTTGCCGCGACCGAGGGAAGTAAACCTAAGACGGAAAAAGAAACACTAGCAACGCCGAAAAGCGAAAGACCTCTATGGAACGATTGTTTGTAACCCAAGCGAGCTAAATCCTCCGCATCGTCAACGTGGTCCCGATACACAGGTCTAAAGGTTACTTCACCAGTCTCGGTGGAGGAGTCATAAGGCTTCGAGACTGAGTCCGTGCTTGAAAGAGTATCGAATTCTCCAAGATTCATGATACCAATATTAATTAAAGAGTGAAGATGTTAAATTGAAAGAAAGTCAAATAAAAAATAGCCAACCTCAACAGTTAAACAAAAAACACATAGGAGACGGAACAGTTGAATGTGTAAAAAAGCACGTTGATATCAGGTGCTTAATTGTTAATTCTTCAAAATTGGCGTTGGAAGTAAATCTGAAGACAATTAAGCAAATCCAAAAAAAGAGAACGAACGGCTTGCAACAGCTGTGCAATCAAACAAGTCAGTGGAAACAACCATAAACACACGGAAAACTGAAATTTACGAATAGCTAACAGCAATCCAATTATGCCTAATGTAGTATCGGTGTACTTACTCGAGGTACCGCAAACACCGCCCGCAATTCCGAGACTTCGTAAGAGTAACTATAATCGCAACTGCTTTTGAGGGGTGATGATGCTGCAAGCAGCAAACAAGAGCAAACACCGAATTTATAATACTTCATGTCACTCTTTTTTTTTTATTTCGCGTAACAAAATCATGTCGCGGGACATCGCTCAAATTTCGGCGACATAAAAGTAGCGACTTTTGTAGGGAGAAACTAAGAGAGAGAGGCTCACGGCATCTGTTCATTAAGGGATTTTTTTTCATAGCGCTCATTCATATCCTATTCAAAAGTTAAAAAAGTCATCATCCCAAGGATCAACAGTATGAATCCTTCAATTATTTTTTTGTTTCCAAACAATTGCATTTGTATTGGTTACTTGAATTTATTCATCACTATAATATTTATTTCTTAACTCTAATACTTCACCGCTTGCACCACCGTTTTTTTCTACCAGTAAGCGATCTTCATTTAGTAGTTCAAATATTGCCTACGTCATGATCACCGTTATGACACACACGTGATTCATATCGCTTTCGATAAACTGATAATCGCAGTGCGACTGAAACGAGAAACACAGGTAATTGTATAATCCGTGGGTTTTCTGTATCGTTATAGTTTAAGAGGTATATATTGATAAGCATACTAATAGAAGCGGGATTTTTTCATTTGCTAATGACAATGTTACATTTTGGTTCAACTCGCTTAAGACCAAATTCTAAAAAACCATCGCATAAATCTAACCCAATCATGTTTAATCAATTAGTCGGGAGCTTTTTTAACGTGGGCCCACTGGGTCGTTTAACTTAAGACTGTTATTTGTTAAAAGTTTTCACTGCGTTTTTAGCTTGCCGCAGTAGAGCAGCCACAATACGGTTTCACCTCGGTTTTGTGCAATAGAACGCTACTGCTAAATGATGTTCTTTTTGTATCCGCTTGTTTTTATGGACGAAGACAGTTTTGTTTCCCATCAATTGTGTTGATTCCTACTAAGTTTTTTAAATTCGTCGTTTATAATAATTTTCGGTGATAGCGATTTTTGGGAAATGTCTTATGTCAGTTTATGAACCAAGGGCACAGGTTAGTGTATAAAAGTATGCTGTTCGGTAGATGGACCCTGATAAAATAAACTTTATTTTATACTTTTCTGTTCATATGCATAAAGACCAAGGGTTCTAATTGAATAACTCATGCCAATGTTGTGTGCACGCAACGTTCATGTCGACGTTGGTCGTTTTTCTTGCATGGAGTCAACCTGAAGGGTATCTGAAGAACCCAACACAGAGCTGTAACGAGGCAAAGTAGTTGATTAGCGTTGTAATTAAGATTTTTGGTCTTCTTGTCGGCTACTGAGTCTTCAAAAGGCAATTTAACGATAAGTAATTAAGCTCTTTAAAACACAGCAATTTTATAAGTTAGTGTGATACGGTGTTTGTGTTTATTTACAACTATGTGTAAACTATATAGTCACTGCACCGTGAAATGATTATGAGGCACATATGCGAAAAACCTTATAGCGAGCCTTTGTGGGGTAGATTAGATAGTATTCGAGCAAATATAAATCTAAAAAATGATTAAAAGAATTGGCCTTATATGCGTGCAAAAGTGACGATAAAATATATCATCAGTTCAAGAAATCAATTTTTAGTTATGATTTAAACACTTAAAATGTTCAGTCGATTCTTATGGGAGAGGAATCCTGAAATAAACCTCATTAACAATCGTGACAAAAGGAAAACAAGACAAATTTAAGTGCTTTATGACCTGTTTTCCTGGTTTTTAACAATTGAGCTTAAAATATTAAAATTTTTTATAATGTAGTAAACGTATTTCATTTGTTTTAATCGTAGGATATCAACAGTATTGAAGATCCAGGCTACAGTTTTCGCGCAAAAATACAGCAGCTAAGACCTATGTTCATGAAAGATGATTCAGCATATATCTACTAATTGGGCTTTCAAAATAACTGACATAGTTATGTTTTTATATACCATAATTACATGGCTAAATAGATTTGAACACGCTAAAATGGTAACTTTTGATTTTTTGTAATTTATACTGATGAATCCGATTCTCATAACCGTGAGTCAATCCTAGCCCTTAACTATCATCACAAAGTAGTAGTTACGTAACGATACATTGTAGAAAGAAAAGCGTGTAAGTATTATGTTTCTTTCCGATGATAAACAAAACTAAATTAAATTGAGCGCTCGTGGTATATCCAAGGTTTCTAACAAACGTAATTGGATGACAGATAAATAGCAATTACTTGAGACATACGTACAAAAAAACAACTAAACGTTAATAATCACAATGTTTTCTGAATTGTTATAGTTACTCTATAAAACATGAACAAAGTTCACTTGTCACCCAGACGAGTTTATTAAACTTAACCTGATATATAATCTCATCGTAATCATAAAACAGATAAAGTCACGTATAAATGCCTTAATGACAAATACGCCAACAAGTCTGATCCTTTAATGTGTGAGAACCATAATGGACACAATTCAGTCTGCTATTTCGTGCGTAATTCTTACGGACCTTGGGCGACAAAGTTGCCATTTTTATGTTAAACACAGAGCATGGCATTCCATATAACTCACAAACAACACACCTCGGTTTTTTAACGATTATCGTTTAGCCCTTTTTTTATATGTAAGCGCAAGCAAAAAGATGGGTCAGAGAGTTTTCGAGCGTCTGGTTCACAAGCAAAAATCAAAATTTCCCACCAATGAAAACATGCAGTACGTATCTCATGTGCAATCTAGGCTAACCATAATTGAATGTGTGATTATAAACGCCGACTCTGAGGTAACATGTTTTCATGACTTGGCTTAACTTGACTCGACTGACAGGATGGGAGGGTGCGATGCAAAGTTGTGAGAATTATTATCCCTGAAAATGGCATGTGTATTGCTTATTTAGCTTTAAGTATAAGTTCATATGTCTATATCATGGGGGTTGTTTATTTACATTTACTCATGGAACATTAATCATGTTTACCTTTTACTTTGCATTTGTGTCACTTCACGCACTGTTTATTTAGCCTCTGGGAGTTAGCGACCACTAGGCTAATGTCAATGCCACACTACAAAGTTCACAAGTACGTTTCCAAGTACGATGCTTTGAATTAGTGGAAACGGTGCAAATACGACACATCAACAAGACTCCTGAAATGGCTTAGATAATCATGTCATTCAATACAATATTGCTTTAAAGAAAAAGTATAGAAAGGTAGGAACCCAAAGGAAATTCAGTGCATTATGAAGTTATCAAGTATTCCTCTTTTGTTAGCTTCCGTTTTTGCTTGCAAAGCCGTTAGTGCATACTCCGGCGATTACGATTCTCTTCTAAATGACATTGTCAAAAGCGATTATGATTCACCGTCTGGTGGCGAAGGACAGGTAACGCTGTCTAGCCTGTCGGGCTTGTCCACCTTGTCGAGCCTGACAAAGCGCGATGCTGAACCGTACTTCAAGGAGCTTGATATGTTTTCATTCGATAACTACGAGAAACTTACTAAGGTTAAAAGTATGCTCGCACACGCGCAATCCAATGAAATGTTGGGTGATGCACTTTATCTTTACAACTTCATGGATCGGAACGGCCATTCAAAAAGCATCACGCTAAATGACTCATCCGAGTTTGTTACTGAGACGTGTAAATTACTTTCCTCCTATGGTTTGAATAGCACCGATATTCTTGTTTCTACAGCGTCAAGTCCGTTCCTCGTCGATTTTTACAAGAATTTCGATATATCTGTTTGTGACGCTAAACATCAGATGAAACGGGAAAGCGTAGAGTGCAACCACAATCACGCTACTAGTAATGGGGCCTGTACATATTTGAAGGACAGTCTCAAGTATCATGAGCGCTTCGCCGGTGCTCCCAGAAGTTGGTGTATCAGTACTTGTTGTATGTCATGGAACAAGTACATTGCATTTGATTATGTGTGGGCGGAAACCAGAGTTTCAACATGCATAAACAACTGTATTCAAAATTCGGGAAGTTGTGTCCTTAGAAATACTGACCCTTCACTTGGTAGCGATTTTAGCTTCTGCGTTAGCGATCGAAGCAGCGGTTGCAGCTAGGAGATGCTTAAGGCTGGACTTACTAAAATCTTTAACTTAGTTTATTCAATATATGAATTCGTAAACCGTGAAGAGAACGAGCCGTCTCTTATGTTCCTTTTTTTTGTTCAAATTTACGAAACAGAGATGACAACCCACATTAAATATACCAATATATGTCGGAGTTGACAGCTTCCTCTGGGACACGCTGCGCAAGCCCACGCCTAACAGCAGACAAAATGGAACGCCAGAGGCAAAACCCAGAGGCCGCTATCAGAAAAAACAAAAGTAGCTTCACATAACAGGACACCCAATCACACAAAGAACCCCGGCAAACCCACACTTTTCATAAGCACTCTATTCATTAAAGTTTTCTAAAAATATCGTCTAATTAACTCAGATGGAGCCAATGCAGTTCACCTAATCCACCCGACGTTTCTTGATATCGGGTTGACCAGCTGTTCAGTTGTCCTTAGCAGCAGAGTAGGCAACAAGGTCAACAACACGGCGGGAGTAACCGTACTCGTTGTCGTACCAGGAGACAAGCTTGACGAACTTGGGGGAGAGTTGGATACCGGCAGAGGCATCGAAGATGGAAGAGTGGTGGTCACCAGTGAAGTCAGTGGAGACAACAGCGTCCTCGGTGTAACCCAACACACCCTTCATGGGGCCCTCAGAAGCGGCCTTGACGGCAGCCTTGATCTCCTCGTAGGTGGTGGCCTTCTCGAGCTTGACGGTCAAGTCGACGACGGAGACATCAGAGGTAGGGACACGGAAAGCCATACCAGTGAGCTTGCCGTTCAAGGCAGGGATAACCTTACCGACGGCCTTGGCGGCACCAGTGGAAGAGGGAATGATGTTGTCGCCGGCAGTACGGCCACCACGCCAGTCCTTCTTGGAGGGACCATCGACGGTCTTTTGGGTAGCAGTGGTAGCGTGGACAGTAGTCATGAGACCCTCCTCGATACCGAAGGTGTCGTTGATGACCTTGGCAAGGGGAGCCAAGCAGTTGGTGGTGCAAGAGGCGTTGGAGATAACAGTCTCAGCAGGGTTGAACTCGGTGTGGTTGACACCCATAACGTACATGGGAGCATCCTTGGAAGGAGCAGAGATGATGACACGCTTGGCACCACCCTTCAAGTGAGCAGAGGCAGTCTCCTTGGTGGTGAAGACACCAGTGGACTCAATAACGTAGTCGGCACCAGCAGTGGACCACTTGATGTTGGCGGGGTCACGCTCGTTGAAGACAGTGATGGCATGGCCATCAACGACGAGCTTGCCGTCCTTGATCTCAACATCACCCTTGTAGCGACCGTGGGTGGAGTCGTACTTGAACATGTAGGCCATGTACTCCAAGCTGATGAAGGGGTCGTTGACAGCAACGATCTCGATGGTCTTGGCCTCGAGGGCGTTACGGAGGACGATACGGCCAATACGACCGAAACCGTTAATACCAACCTTAGGAGCAGCCATTGTTAAAGAAATTGAGTGAGTTGTTGTGTTGAGATGAAATGTATTCAAATCAGTGTGGTGAAACTGGGTGCTCGTCCCAGCCTATTTATACCTGCTCCTGTCGCGGTTGCGATCGCGATCCGTGGTGTGAGCAGAATGGCTTGCACACATGGCAGAACGGAACGGAACAGAATGGAAGAAAATGTCGCGGGGAACAGCCAAAAACTGCGCAATAATTTCGCAAAGAGTCTATCATTAACGCAAAAGTTACAAGCGATATTTTTCAAATGTACTTTAGTCGTATATTGTTTAAACAACTTGCTCGTTAAATGTTATTGAGGTGCAACGCAGTGCAGTGCGACTGTTCGGAATATTTAATTTATCCGTTCGGAGAAATTAGGTGCGACAGGTGTGTGGCTTCTCGGGGAAATAGGTGAGTTGGGGGTGCGGAGTATAATCGGTGTTGTATTCTCGACCAAAAAAGTGGTGTTCATTGCTTTAAAAATGGGTGCCCCATAACATTACAACGGGAGTAACCATAGCAGAAATTGAAGTTTAGCTTAATAAATCTTGTGGCCTTGTATTTTTTTAATGCTAGCTAAATAAGTGACAGTCAATGGGCTTAGAACATGTGCTGCACATCTCGCAGCATTCTAGGCCAATAGAACGCTCTCGATAGCTTCCAAATGTTCTGTCCACTCCCGGATGCCCAGCGATTGCTGTGCTGT